GAAGCAACAGTTCAGAGAGATAGACAGGAAAGTGAGGGTCAGTGAACGAGTTGAAGCATAGATTGGCAGACTTGTACTTGATGCGAGATGATATTGGAAACCAGTGGAGTTGCCGCATGTGTTGTTGAATGTGGTCATGTTTCTTTGATTTAAAAATGAGTCTGCATGCTGAGTTCTGTGCCTTCTGAAGTTTGTCTATGTGGTGTTGAGGAATGCCTGAGAGAAGAGTATTACAGTAGTCAAATTTTGAAAGAATGAGTGAAGAGACCAGAGTTTTTGTGGCATCAAGGGAGAGGAGGTGTCTAATGGTGCTGATTTTTCTAATTTCGTTGTATGCTGATCTGCATATAATCGTGACATGTTTGTCCATGGAGAGGGTGTTTGTAAGCGTGACTCCAACCTTTCTGGCAGAGGAAGAGAGTGTGATGTCAGAGTTGCCAAAAGATATAGAAGAAGGAGCGGAAGGAGGGAGAGGTTTGTTTTGAGAGTGGATGAGAAGGAATTCCGTATCAACATCATTGAGCTTCGGTTTGTTGCAAGTCATCCAACGCTTTACGTCCTCCACGCACTCCAGTATGCGAAGTATTGTGGCATCAAGTTGATCAGGAAAGCAAGAGTCACTGATTTGAGTGTCATCAGCAAAGGATTGACTGGAAACTGAGTGGTGGCTAATGAGAGATGATAGAGGTTTAGTGTAGAGGATGAAAAGGACCGGCCCAAGGACCGATCCTTGAGGAACTCCAATAGACAGGGCAGAAGGTTTGGAAGAGCGGTTGGAAATAGAGACTGATTGAGTTCTGTCAGAAAGATATGATTGAAACCAGTTTAAAGCTGAGCCAGTTAGTCCGAAAGAAAGATGAAGGTGGTCAAGAGGAATATGGTGGTCAATGGTATCAAATGCAGCAGAGAGATCTAACAGAGTGAGAATAGAGAGTTTGCCATCGTCCATCGCGCGCAGGAGGTCGCTCATGACTCGGACCAGTGCTTTTTCTTTGCTATAACCAAGTCGCTAGGCAGACTGAGAGGAAGGATAGAGATTGCGAGAGTGAAGATAATCAGAGAGCTGAGAGAGTATGAATTTTTCTATGATTTTTTAGAGAAAGGAGAGGTTACTGACGGGCGGTAATTCTTGAGTTTGTTTGGATCAAGTGAGGGTATCTTTAGGAGTGGCAGGACTATCAACCGTTTAAAAATGGGAGGGAAGATGCCAGAGAGAATAGAATAATTTATGATGGAGGTGAGTGCTATGAGGAGGATGTCGAGGCATTATTTAAAAGATAATGTGACCAAATTTTCTGGAGAAATTCAAAATCTAATACAAAACACGATGAACAACACAACTATATTATAACATCTCGACTTAGTAATTAGGATAATGTTATTTGCTTGTATGGTAAGAAAAAGTTAATAAAAACTTTGGAAAATCAATATTTATAAAGGAAAAAACAAACACATAACATGTTTATTGCATGTTAAAATTTTAATCAGTTTTTATATTTATAAAAGGTGAGTAGTATTTTTTATATATATATAAAATTGAATGCATGTAATCATATATATATATATAAAAGTAAAAATGTGTGATTTGTTTGTTGATTTCTTCCACAAAGGATTTTAAATGGATTGATGGATGTTAACCAGACTTTGCACATATATCCATCATTATTTAGAATAAAATAGTTGGGGGTTTCGAACTTTATTTAAGATTCCGTTCGGGGCCAGTAGCCCCGAATTCTTTAATTTTTCTTATATCAGAATTATAAATAAAATGTCCAACCGATACTCCTAATAAAAAGATGGATTTTGGGTAAAACTCAGTTGACATACACTTGATTATCCATATTAAAACACCGAAGGATATTAAACTAAAAAAATCTGTTCCCTTGGGCCGGGGCCCCGTTTCATTTTTCCTTGTTTAAGCAATATAAATATCTGTAGGCTTACTACTCCTAAATGAATAGTAGGATCTTGACCAAACTTAGTAAACATAAACTTGGTTATCCATATTCCGTTTCCGAAGGGTACTTTATCAATTCCTCTGGGGCTTGTGGACAATTTCATTTTTGTTTATATGAGCTGTAAAAATATCAATTGGCTTACAATAAGAAATAGGTGAATTCATTGATTTGGCCAAGCGTGGTAGCAATACACTTCATTGTCCCAATGGAAATATCGGTGGATTTAAAACTAATAACATCAAATCAATTCAGGGCCGATCTGGAATTTTCTAGAAAGTTTGGTAATTTAACAATCTACATTTATATCATTTTTAAACCGATTTTAATATTAATAATTTTAAATGCTAACTCCTTAATTTAACTGAATGATTTTTAGGGCCCCCTAACACAGACATAACTGAAACGGTATTTTATTAAATGGGCCCCTACTGGGGCCGTTCTTTTAATTTAAATGTGCTATAATTATTGTAATGCAATTATTTAGTTGTATACTTTTTGTATTTAAAAATAATTAATAGAAAATATATTTTTACACGTTTCATGTAGGATATTAAATTTAATCTAAAATCTTTCATCATATTCTATACTGTTCTTTGGGGAAATATAATGTGATCTACAAACGTATTCGATAAAAATCGTACTGAGTATGATCCCATAGAGAAATAGGATCTCAATGGGGAATGTGATTCCAACAGTGAACTAGAATCCATCGATTACGCCATTGATTAAAGGAATTGAATTAGGGTCCTATTGAAAATAGGATAATATCGGAACCGAGGGTTACTAGTCGGAAAAGAAATCCCATAGAGAACAGTATCCTAACGGGATCAGGATCAACCAAGATCGTTATCCCATTTGTGATTGGAGTACAACCAGGATCGAGGTATTAATGCAATCTGGGCAAGACGGGTATATTTGCTACTTATAAATACAAATGTCTCAAAATCATCCATAAGATGAATCCATTTAAAAGTTATTAAGTATGTTTGGCCTGCCATTTTCAACTTAGACTGCTATTGAAACTACTTGGCCTTGTTGATGAATTCCCAAATCACTCCTTAATAAACTTTCTCTTTTCATCTATGTCCATATAAGCTTCAATGTAGATAAAAGTGGAATGATCTTTAAAAGAAAATTACAATTTTCTCTTGTACCTGAAAGAGGCTTAAGATAAACATCAAATAAAAATCCTGAATCGACCCAATTTCTTGTTTACTTTTCAATTTTTGTGTTTAATAAAACTCATTAAAAATGGTACTTGATAAATTAAATAATTATCTATGTATTGCTTTTCCAACTCCTAACAAAAATATAATTACTACGATGATGTTGTTTGAGTGTTGTTCATTAATTTGATGAATTTAATAAAAGTTTGATATAACCTAAAATATATATTAACTAATTTTAAACAAGACTGTTATGTAAATAATTTTACAACTATCCGATTCTAATGATACAACATAACCTACATAACAGCACTATATAGACTAAGTCTAAGACTAAAAGTAAACTCACACAGAAAATAGGCTAAGTATTAGATTGGGGAATATTAACTTAACACTTTTTTAAATTGTATATTTTAATACCTTATTAAATTTTTTTTAAAAATCCACTCAATTTAATTAGGCATGTAAGTGTGGTTTTAGTAATAAGTAACTGATAAATAATGGGGGTGTTCCATTGCTCCAGCATTAAACAGAAACTCGTTACTCTCCCCATAAACAGCGACGAGGCCATGATAGTATTTTCCGGCTCTTACCAGCAAGAAGCCAATACAGGAACTGCTCATTCCTACCAAAGACAAACAGGGACTGGCACAAACTTTTAAATGGAAGATTTGAGGCAAAAACACTTGAAACGTTTGCGTCTATTGCCTCAGGCTTTCCAAACTCAAGTGCATGATACCCTCACTAAGTAGCCCTTAAAACCAATGAAATATCCTCATCAACACCTGGCACAGAAACATTGCTAATCCCCTCTACATGAATAGGAGCTAAAATGATCAATAAATTGATCGTTGGCCCAAGTATATAGAAGACGAATTGAAAAATAATTTAGCTTAGTCCTACTTAGACTATGTTATTATAATTGATTTTGTTATGTAGGCGTAATTTTAGTAATATTATCCTAAAATAAATAGTTAGTTATAAGAGAATAACAACTATTTTAATTGATATTACTATCATAAAACTATTAATTATGAATTCAATTATGAAGAAAGATGAACTGAATAGCGATGCACAATTTTTTTTTTAAAGGTAATAAAAAAAAAAAAACTTTAACATTTAAAAGCAACCCTTAGTACCTAAATACACATTTCAAGTATTTTTTTTTAATAATTATTTTTAATCATAAAACTATTAATTATGAATTAAATTATGAAGAAAGATGAAATGAATAGCGATGCACAATTTTTTTTTTAAAGGTAATAAAAAAAAAAAAAACTTTAACATTTAAAAGCAACCCTTAGTACCTAAATACACATTTCAAGTATTTTTTTTTAATAATTATTTTTTACTCTTCTAATAATTATTCAGATGTTTCAGGATTTAACAATAATTAATCACTGCATAATTGACATTGATAATAGCCATTTTTATGTTTTGCCCCTCGATAAAAAAAAAAAACTTAATTTTGGGACATTTTTATATTACCTCTCCATTGGGAGTTGCATGCATTTTCAAGGACTTGAATAATGATAATAAATTAAAATTAAAAAAAAAAAAATAAAAAAAAAACAAAACAACAACAACTATTAACATGAATGTTGTTTGCTCTGCACTCAACTTCATTTGCCTGGCAGAACTAATAAAAAAATGTTTATGTGATTTATATATTTTATGTAATAATACTGTCAGTGATACTCAAAATATCCGGAAGCATAAATCAATATATCACCGGAACACGCAAACTGATACGTCACTGATGAGAAAAGCAATGATTTAATAAAAAACTGTGAAGTTGTATGCAATTTTCCAATGATACCGTGGAGCCGTACGCTGTATTGTAGAACAAGTTTTTGGACATTTTTTAACATACGAAGATTGATGTCCCGAGTGGTTTTGACGTATCTAAAATAATCTCGATAAAATTCCTCACAGGTAAACGGTGCGGAGACCCATTTCACAAAAAAAAGAAGAAAAAAAAAAAAAAAAGAAACAAAAAAGAAAAAAACGTGTTTGGGGGGGGGGGGGGGGTGGGGGGCTGGGTAAATTTTTGAAAGTTTACTTCACAACATGAAAACCATTCTAGTGACAAGTCTGACTGTAAAAAAAGAAATAAATCGTTGTCCGCTTTTGTCGCCTCTATTGTTAACACTATTATATAATTTCGGGGATTACCAATGTTACAAAAATGCAAGAGACACCATTTTGAAATAAACGAGCTGATTGGTATGTGTATTTAATAGTTTAAAAAAAAAAAATTATGCCATACGTTTTGTGATTTATTGTTTTACAGAAGCTATTTAATAGCTTAATTTAATTACAAATCAATAATTGTTAATTATAGTTTTCTATTGTTTTTGTTTATTTCAATATCTTTCCTTGAATAGTTGCTTTAGGCTTTAGGACTATATATACATCAATGGGTTAAGTATTACTACTGTTACTGAGTACAATTCTTCACAGGTAGGTGTTTGGGGGGTTCCGTAAAAGGTAAAAAAGGGGGGTTGACATAACAGTTTACTAAACAATGTGACAACAGTTCCAGTTACATGTCAGACTGTAAAAAGTTATAAAATAGCAATCCGCTTTATGTAGCCGGTTTAGTTAAATTTGCAATATATTTTCGGAAATTCCCAATATGACCAAAGACAACAGACGTAACATTGACATAAACAGGCACATGGTATTAATATATTAAATTTATTTAAAATTATTGATTGTTATACTTTTGGAAGACATTTATTTTTTACTTAAGATATTTTACATGTTTATACAAATCAATAATTATTATTGTAAAAATGCTTTATTTGGTAACTTTGTTTTTTTTTTAATAAGGGGTTTAATATTGAGGTTTATTTATTAAAACGGAAGTTAATTACATTTGCAAATTTTAAATTATGTCATAATATATGTATACTAGCAGTTTAAAATATTTTATCTCCATGAATCTAGTCCGTGTTATTACAATTCTCTCTCTCTCTTCCCAGGTAATATTATATTTATATTAAGACTAGAGACCGACCGAAAGTGATTTTCTGATTTCGGACGAAGCCGAAAATAGGCCGAAAGTTTAAAAATGACTTTCGGCTATAACGAAAAAAGCCGAAAGTTAAAAATGACTTTCGGCCGAAACCGAAGCCGAAACCGAAAATGAAATATTTAGATATTTTGAAATTCGTTGCCGCGTACATTCTGAATACATCGAAAATGATGGGGGAAAGTATAAATATTTGCATTCTTTTTATAAATAATGAGATAATCGTGAATATTAATAAATAGACATCTAATATAGGGGTCTCAAACTCGCGGCCCACGAGCCATTTGTGACCTGCAAGACGATATTTTGCTGCCCGCTACATGACCGTAAAGTTTAGTGTAAATGCGCCGGCCCGTTTCCCCCATTCTCATATTCATAACCTGACTCTCCGTGACGGTTTCAGTCTAATCTCACAGACTAGTCTAATTCTGATTTTTTATAAGGTTTCTATATATTTTATTATTATTATTATAATGGTGAGAACCGTTTTAAACTCGGAATAAACGTTTTATTTTTACAGCCTTTCATCGTTTAATTTGTTCTTAAAGACCGCTAAGTTTGTTCTTATAGATCTTTAAGTTTGTTCTTAAAGATCGTTTAGTTTGTTCTTAAAGATCGTTTAGTTTGTTGTTAATGATCGGTTAGTTTATTCTTAAAGATCGGTGAGTTTATTCATAAAGATCGCTAAGTTTAATGTTAAAGATCACTTTATTTGTTCTTAAAGATCACTTAGTTTGTTGTTAAAGATCAGTTAGTTTGTTCATAAAGATCGCTTAGTTTGTTGCTAAAGATCGTTCAGTTTTGTGTTAATTATTGCTCTATTTGTTCTTAAAGATCAGTCAGTTTATTCATAAAGATCGCCTGGTTTGTTGTTAAAGATCGTTTAGTTTGTTGTCACTGAAAGGTTAGTTTGTTCTTAAAGATCGGTGAGTTAGTTCATAAATATCGTTTACCTTGTTCTTAAAGATCGCTTAGTTTGTTGTTAAGGATCGTTCAGTTTTTTGTTAATGAACGCTCTATTTGTTCTTGAAAATCGGTTAGTTTGTTCATAAAGATCGCCTGGTTTGTCGTTAAAGATCGATCAGTTTTTTTTGTTTATGATCACTTTTTTAGTTCTTAAAGATCGTTTTGTTTGTTCATAAAGATTGCGTAGTTTTTTGTTTAAAGATCTTTTAGTTTGTTCTTAAACATCATTTAGTTTGTTCAAAAACTATTGCTGGGTTTTCTTCTTAAAGATCGCTTTGTTTGTGTTATTAAAAGAATCGTTTAGTTTGTTCATAAAGATCGTTTAGTTTGTTATTAAAGATCATTGATGTTTTAACTAAATATCGCCTAGTTGTTCTTAAAGATCATTCAGTTTGTTATTAAAGACCATTTAGTTTGTTTTTATAGATCCTTTAATTTGTTATTAAAAATCATTTAATTTGTTCTTAAAGACCGCTTTTTTTTTTTTGAAGATCACTTAGTTTTTTTCATAAAGATCGCTTAGTTAGTTCTTAAAGATAATAAATTTTGTTCCTTAAGATCAATTAGTTTACTCTTAAAGATCTTTTAGTTTGTTCCTAAAGAACATTTAGTTTTCTGATAAAGATCGCTTAGTTTATTCTTATAAATATTTTAGTTTACTACGAAAGATAATTTGTCTTGTTCTAAAAGATCATTTAGTTCGTTATTAAAAATCGTTTAGTTTGTTCTTTAAGATCGTTTAGTTTGTTATTAAAGATCGCTTAGATTGTTCTTAAAGATCGCTTAATTTATTTTAAAGATCGTTTAGTTTATCCTTAAATGTCGCTTGGTTTGTTTTTAAATATCGTTTACTTTGTTCTCAGAGATCGCTTAATTTGTTTTTAGAGATCGCTTTATTTGTTTTTAAAGATCGTTTAGTTTGTTCTTAAATATCGCTTTATTTGCTCTTAAAGATCGTTTAGTTTGCTCTTAAATGTCACTTAGTTTGTTGTTAAATATCGCTTTCGCTGAGTATTAGATTATCGAAAACAATCCGGCCGAAAGTCTAAGTCAATTTCGGCCGAAACCGAAAAAAAACGAAAGTTAACTTTTCTCTTTCGGCCGAAACCGAAATTAATCCGAAAGTTAACTTTTCAGTTTCCGCCGAAACTTGGCCCAAATTGATAAAATGGCCACTTTCGGCGCCGAAACCGAACCCGAAGCCAAAATTCGGTGGGTCTCTAATTAAGACTCAATGTTTCTATAATGGTAGGCACTTTGCTGTACTATCAAGGTACAATTGCAAAGTCCGGTAATATAAAATTAAAATATGTATGTAAACAACTGAAAGAAGAGTACAGTATCACAAACTCTTGAAATTTATATTTAGAAAGTAGTTAATACGATTTTGTCTTGTTTTATTAAGAACTATGCCTGTAAACATGATTACGTATGATTACGTTTATAACTTCATTTAGTTTTGTGAAATAATTATCTGACCTCAAATATAGTTCTACCCAACCACGTTTCAGGACTTTTAATTTAAATAAATTAATACATATCCACATTTGAAAAATATGTCCTTATATTTGCAACAACAATGTATATACTATTTTAAATACATTGAACATTTACAGATATTTATGTTTCGATTGCTTCATTAAAATGGTTACCGCACTTTTGCCTCGCTTTTCTACATATTATCGGAAAATCTTAAATACTGAATTCATACATTTAAAGAAGCATGTCTTAACAAAATGTTCTGTCTGTAAAAGAACTGATTTTGCTCTGATATATCATCAATATTAATAAATTGTATACAACCAGTTTACCGTGAACTTTTTTTTTGTAAAGTGACTTTTTTTTTTTCTCTTACTTTGAAAGAAAATGTTAGGCCATGTTTTGTTCATGTCACCGAACTGAATAGGGGAAATTGTATTTTTTATTTTATTTTAAATGTCCATGTGTAAAGTAATTGAGCTTTTGAAATATTTTAATCCTTCTACAAATGCTTTCTTTCTTGTATTTTCAATAACTATTTTTAATACATTGTTCAATACAAACATATCTTTTGTTTGCTCATAAAGAAGTGCTAAGACTTTACCCTCGCGCATGAACAATAACTTTGGCAAATTAAAAAAATCCTGATGTTATTCGTTTGCAATGTGTCCTCTCTTTTTTTTCGTATAACCCTTTTTTGAGTTATTAGTATGGTTATAAAAAAGAAGAAAAAAAAACACAATAAGACAATCATCAGAGAGAAAAGATGACTCTTGAAATTAAACGTAAACTCATTGAAATGCGAGAACGAGGTGTGAGCGGGGCTATTCTAACACGAATACAATTGGTCACATCTAGCGCAATATCAGAAATGCTGAAAGCATGGGAAACTGTTGCATCGTACATCATAAGTTTTTGCTAACAAAAAGAATTGTATAATATTCAAGGTAACAAAAAATGCTAAAATATTTGTTGAGTATTTATTTTAAAAATGTTTGTAAGTTATAGTAAAAATACTTAATCATAGACTAAAATATAAGAAGATGTATTTTATGTTTATCATATTTAAATGGATTCGATTTTCGTAATATAAAAAAAGTAATCATTATTATTTTAAAGAAACCAGTCTCATTTAAATGTATTCGTATTTTCAGTTCATATGCATATTTTTTATTTTTTCAATCTTATTTAAACTAGAGAATATCATCTGACGTTCTCAAGATAATAAAGGCTGGAAATTGGCGGTAATTTCTACCTGCAATTGCAAAAACACATCACAAGTCCGTATTTTAAAAAGAAGTATCTAGGTAAACATGTTTCAGTTTTTAACATCATTAAAACTTTTTAAAAGTATTTTTGCCTATACATTATACGCCTAACCTAGCCTTTTTCGAAATCGTAAACTACATTTTTTCTTCTCAGTAGGACCTTAAATTACCCAATCTAAATGATAACTAAATAAATCAATATCTTAACTGAACAAGCTTTTGACAGTTAATTTATCGCTAGATAATTAATATGGATGTAATGTGATTTTTAAATTGATAAGGTTGGGGATTCCCAACCACTTTCTTCCGCCTAAACTATTTACAATTCTCTTTTAATTGCGAAAACTTATTGTTAAACTTACATCAAAAACTCGATATACAATTTTAAAAATATATGAAATTAGCGGAATTTGATACACTATATCTTCATTTAAAATTTAACCAATCTTTTGCATTAATTTTTAACTATATTATCGGAAGATCGAAAAACAAATGATTTTTTAATCCAAAAAATAATCTCTTTAACTTGTTTAATTATGTAACAGTATTGAGTGTCTAATTTACATAAATTGTATTAATCTAAAGCAATATATATCTAATTTACTTTTCGCCAAGAAAAACGAATATATGTTCATATTTTGAAAGAAAACCTGATACCATCTGAATTTTCAAAATACATGTTTCCATGTGTAATTTGGTTTATTTATTTATGGGTATACTTATGTAAAAGGTACCCATGTTTTTTTAATGCCTACGATTTTTTATCAGATAAACACAGGTTTATTTGTAAAAGGAGAATATAAAATCTCAATTTTACATGTTTAATATCATAGGATTTAAAGATATTGTCATCCACCTCGAAAAAGTACAAACCCCACTTCCTACCCCGATAAGTGTATACCTAAAAGTGTCAATTATTTATCAATTCATGTATTTATTTTGAGGTGTGTCTTGTGCAAGTCGGAGCAAAATGAAACATCGAATCCCCCTTCCAAGGTTTTTTTTTTAATAATGTTTATAAAGTGATTCACAGGATTGTAGCCCCTTATATGCGCAAACACACAATTTTTGCACGTACCTAAACTTACTTAAACTTCATAAGACCCATATTCATTTTACCACACATAATATAATATTTTCTTTACAAAGTATATAATTCTATGCATAATTACGTATTTTGATGTGTTATTTTAACATTAAACACTGCCAAAATTTATTTCAGTCCCATAATTTTGTCTATAAATATAGATATTTTATGAAAATTTTTTTATTTAAAATTGGTTTGTTCTTATTTAGATGAGTGATAAATGCATCGGTTTATGCTATTTGGCTTTAAAGTTTCTCAACTATTAGAATATTTTAGCCTAAGATCAATCGCTGACTGATTAACTCTAACGGAATTTTCTCTTTAAAATTATACTTAAATGTTTAGTTTTATTTACGAATTATTATTTTTGAATTCTTAGATTTTTGTAAAAAAAAAAAGCTCATTCTTATATGCTAGAATGCATAACCCGGTTTTATCGGGATAATAATGGTAGGTCCTCTGCGATAATTTCTAACTGCTATTGAAAAAACTCATACCAATTCATAACTTTTAAAATATAATGATATTTATTTTTTGACATTATGAAGTTTTGAGAAGTTTTTATCTGCTATACATGATATGCGTACCCTACACCCTTTCACGCTCCTAAACTACTTTTCCCCTCTAAACATAAACTTAAATTACACAATCTAAATTATCACTAATTATATCACTTTTGTCATTAAAGAAGTTAATTGGAGGACAATTACCACGCTAGAGAAATACTTTAGATTTACCCTTTTTCGTGCACTTGAATTACAACATTTGTGAAAAACCTATTCTTAAAATTAAAAAAAAAATCTATTTATATATGAAATTAATATATTTTGAATTACAGGAATGCGATATATATTGATATCTTCATAAAAAATTCAAAAAATTAATTGCATTTTTCAAACCTATACAGTTTCAGAAAATCGTAAAACAAAGAACTTTTTTATCTAAGAGGAATCCCGCAACTTTTTTTAACGCCAAAATCAGATTTGAATGTCTTTTTAAAAAAATAAAAGTGTTAATCTCATAAAAATGCATACCTCTTTAATTTTTTCAAAGTAACAAAAAATATAGATTTTTATTTTACAAAATTAAATAAAATATTAACCCATCTTCATTTGTCAAAATTTAATTTTTAAGTGTGTAAAATGATTGGGTTTCTATATTCATGGACACCTATAAATGTACCCAAGATTTGTTAAAGCAATTGATTGGTAAACATTTGTTTATTTGTAAAAAGAGAATTTAACATCTCTTTTTTCACAAATGTGATATCATAGGATTCAAATATAGTGTAAAAATGTACACATCCTTTTTCCTAACTCCGATATGTATGTACCCAAGACGGTTAATTATGAATCAAATCATTTCCTTTATTTTGGGACGAATCTTGTATTGCCTTGGGCAAAAGGAACATACCGGGTACCAATATCTGTAAAAAGACAATGTAATATCCCTTTTTCCACAGATGTAATACCATAGAAGATAAAACTGTTGTCATCAACGTAAGAATTAAGACATCTTATTTCCTTCCTCCGAAATGTATTTACCGAAGAAAATTAATTATGTATCAAATTCATTTCTTTATTTTGAGACTTATCTTGCGCTGCCTTGAACAAAATGATTATACACATATTTGAAAAAGAGAATGCAACATCTCTTTTTTCACAAATGTAATACTATAGGATTTAAATATATTGTAATGCACGTAAAAACGTACACATCATATTTCCTACTTCCGATATGAATGTTGTAATGTAGTACGCTTTTCCCCGTACTTGAACTTTGTTTTACTCATCATTAGATACTTACCAGACCGTAGCGTTTGTTGAGGGTGTGGTAAATTTTTTTGATGTATCGTGTTTATTACCGACAACCAATTAAACTTGGATAGTATGTCTCCTAGTATCTTGTCGAACATTGGCGATGTTTTTCTAGAAAAATAAAAAAATGCTGAGTAGTTTCTGGAAGGCAAGGCTTACGCTGCATGTATAAAGAGATTGGCAGACACGGAGAGAGAGATAGAGAAAGAGAGAGAGAGAGAGAGAGAGAGAGAGAGAGAGAGAGAGAGAGAGAGATTCAGATAGATATGCTTAACTTTACGAGACGTGTATTATTCTTTGTGTTCAATATGTATTTATTTCGCATTCATCACTTATCATTATTAATTGGCACATTGCACTATTTGTGTAACGGTACAAGATCTACCATACTCTGTAAGTTCATAATTTGTAATTATATTTCTTTTGTTTTCTAATTATATTAATAATTATATAAATTTTATTAAATTCTAATTAGTAGTGTTTTGGATGTCGTAATTTTACTAAAGATTTCTCTATAGTTTCGTCCTTTGTTGTGCACTTTTTGAACGAGCCATAACTTAAAACAATGTACTCAAGAAGGTTAATTTTTTTATCAAAATAATTCCCTTATTTTGTGACGTATCATGTGCTGCCTGGGGCTAAATGAGCAACCCCTCCCACATCCAGATTTAAAAAATAAAATAGAAAATCTTCCACTGGATTTTAGTCCCTTCAATACCCAAACTAATAAAGTTTGCACTTTATATGGTTCGTTCTTATTTGTATGAGATAGAAGTGGATTAGTGAATGCTATGTGGCTATGGAGTTGCGCAGCACTGATAGATTTAAACCACATTTTCTTATTAGAAGTATATTTAAAGGTTAGTTTTTAATGTGTTATAAATTTAATATAAGTTTAATTTTGGAATAAAAAAAGGCAAACCTTTTTAATGTAAAAATATACAAAGCAAAAATTTGTATGTATTTTATTAACAACTAGCGAGTACCCGGCATGCGTTGCAATGCCACACAAAGAAAGAAAGTGTTTGCATGTTAATTATGTTTCTTCAAAAGCTTTTAAATACTCAAGCTTTTCTTGTTTTTCCTTCTGGTATATACACGAATAAATCAAAAGATTTTCCGACGCGAGAGCAGGCCACGTACATCTGTCCATGGGCGAAGCATGGGTTTTCCAAAATTTGGTCTGCAATTTAATTTAAATTTAATTTAGTCTGCAAACTGGTAGCAATTGTCCCTGTGCTTTGTAGATAGTCATTGTAGACGCGTGTCGCATCGGAAACTGTAGGCGTTTGAATTCAAATGGCATATCTGTTGGAATCATTGGGGTGAATGGCAAAAGTACATCACCTAGTTTAAATTTTCCTTTTAAAATAGTAACTTCAATGGAACCAATTTCGGAAGATTCATTTGAACAAATATACCGTACCTAATGCTTCGATATCAAAGTGCGTTTCTCGTTGCAAATCAAGAGCGAAAAGTTTGTTTGCATATCGATTCCGAGAGGTCATTCCTAACTCACGAATCATCAATCGATATGAATAGTATTTCATGGCACTGACTTTCTTATTCGAATTTCTCAATTTGATGTCAAAATGATATCCATCTTCTCCTGCCAAAATAAAATAGGATATTGCAATCAATCGTATGAGCGATGAGTTTCTGAGACTCGCTGAACATCCCCACTTCTGCGATGAAGAATTTTATCACGTGAGTTAAATTCTTCGCCAACTATAACGATCGCCACTTCATCAGATGTTGGTGCATTGTATTGTCTTTCATCTTGGCCGAAAGGTGTTTTGTCTGCTCTAACTATGACTTTGTATTCACCATCTTTTCAAGTGCAATTCTATACATTTAAATTAATTCGTTGTGTTGCAAAAATAACGTTTGCATTGCAGCGACGATTTCTCGTTTAGTGCCCGTATTGATATGACAACGTTGATCGATTTGTTCATCAGTATTCCCCATGAAATCATTTGAAGACATTTGTGATCTGTGTTTGGCATTGGCATTAGAGATTTTACACGATGGTAAATGTGGCTTTGCACTTTACTTTAAATGTTGGCACACGATATTTGTTGCACCGAACGATGGCATTTAAAAACATGAATTGTACTTGCGTATGTTTGCCAAGAAATGTTTCGATTGGCTTGTTTCACCTGATACCAACGTTGATAATGGTTCAGGTAGTGAATGTAATTCTGGCAATTTCATTTTCCCATCCGAGCAGCAAATTCCCGATGTTTCGTTTTTTTTTAAATTTTAGGGCACTGCATTACACGCATAATTGATCTATTTTTCCAATAACCACACTTGGATTAAAACTGTAATCATAATTGGCATCGTAATTGAATGTACTAAGATTTAATTCAGCGTACAGTGTTCATCTGGATCGAGCAGTGCCTACTTTATCGGAATCCAGTCTTGTTTCTCGCTGCTCGAATGATTCAGAAAAAACGGGTTTCAGCATTGCTTACTCGGCCGGTTTTGATTCTTGGTTTCTGTTGCTCGACTGTTTAAGGTGAACGGTATTGAACATTGCGTACTCGAGTGATTCTAGTCTTGCTTTCCGTTGCTCAAATGTTTCGAAAAATCGCGACTACTTTTCCTTTCGTGCTTGAGGTTTAGATTGACCCAAAACTTTTTGTTTGTGTGGCATAATTGATTTGACAGCGAAATTATTGCTTTGTGACATCTGTTATTAGCAATGGTATTTCACAATTAACACAACTTGTTAAGTCACAAACAAAATGAAATATTGCTGTTTGTATTTCATTCAATTAATTTTCAATATTCCTAACGTTCATAATTTTCACTCGTTAGAATCTCCCATCTTTTTACGTGAAAACCTCCCACAATAGGTACGTTCATTGTTGTCAGGAGATTTCCAGTTGTATAGTTTCTCATTAATTTATAAATCGTAAATTCCACCGGTAAAAAAATGACCATAGTTCAATACCTACGTTGTTCAGTGTGTTATTTAATTACTTGAGAAACCATCGATTCATGTAAAATGTATTTCCATAACACAAAACAACTCCGAAATTATAAGACTCTATTCAAGAAATACTCTTAGTTGAAAAAAAACACGATTTAGATTTCATTTCCGATTCTAAAATGCGTCACAAAATTCAAGCTTATTTATACAAATAACAAAATACTCTCTACACTAAAAATGTAAAAACGTGTTTTCTCTGCTTTACTACAAATGTGTAATTTGTTCAAGGTCGGTAGTGTTGATATCTCAGTTATAAAATATATTGATGAAGCTCATTTAAGAAAATAAATTGAATTTAGGGTCCCCAGCCCTAATTGGAATATTGTACAATGGATGTACTAAATTTGAAAAATTTGCCGGTGGATTCAGCTACTTCCACACATGCAATAGCTCTGTTTTAAATTATAGTTACAAAGCTCTTAGAAGAAAATATGAAATTATGGTCACTGGCCCAAACGGAATATTGTTAAATATTTTTTTCTAATTTAGAAACATTTTCGGTAGTGCGCATTTCACTTGACCCAGTTTTATCACAATCGAATGAATGGTATAGAAATGCATACGATAATTATATAGATAATAGAAGTGTTGAAAACGAATTTAGGGCCCCCCGCCACAAATGGAATATTGTAGAATTCTTGTATTACTTCAGAAACCTACTTAATATGTCACACACTCAATTTAATATCACTATTTGTATTTGATTAAAAGGCTATCCATCCATGCATTAGCTCTGTTTGAAATTATAGTTTTATAGCTTATATAGAAAACACCAACATAGGATCCCTGGCTAAAAACGGAGAGTTTTAAAATGGTTGTAATCATTTAAGAAACCTTTGCGGGCGGGCGCGCGCACAACATCTCTCTAAAATTTTATCAAATTCTAATAATATAGAGGAGCGCATACGGAAATTATTTTTTATAAAGCTCCTAATGTAAGGAAAAAAACACGAATTTGGGGCCAATTGCCACAAAACCGGAATATTTTAGAAGGGTTATAATGGCTTAGAAAAATGCTCTGGCTTATGTACAACAACTCACCTCAGTTTTATCGCAAGCTTTTGAATGATGTAGGAGCGGATACGGTTTGAAATTATATTTATATAGCTCATTTTGTAGGAAACAAACATAGGGCCCCTGGCTCAACACTGAATATTTTAAAACGGTTGTAGCAATTTAAGACCCTTTGTGGGCGATAGAACAACATCTCACTAAATTTTTATCCCATTCTGAAAAATTGTATAGGAGCGTATAGAAAATTATTTTTTACAAAGCTCATATAAAAAAAAAATGAATCTGGGTCAACGGCCGAAAACGGAATATTTTAAAAGTGTTGTAATGAATGAGTAAAATGGGTATGTTTATAGATAACAACTCGTCAAAGTTTTGTCGCAATCGCATGAATGGTGCAGGAGCGCATACGGTTTAAAATTATATTTATATAGATCGTATTAGAAAAAAACGTAAAAAGGGCCGCTGGCTAAAATTGGAATATTTTGAAAAGTTTATAATAATTTAGAAACCTTTGCGGCCGTGCTTCCAAAATGCAATCGGATAAATGGCTTAGGGGCGAATACGGAAATTATTTTTTACAGAACTCATGTAAGAAAAAATACGAATTAAGGGCCAACGGCCGAAAACGGAAGATTTTTAAAAGTGTTAAAATAACACAGTACAGTGCACTAGCGCATGGACAATGCCTCACTAAGTTTTGTAGCAATCACATGATTGGTGTAGGAGCGCATACGGTTTGAAAATATATGTATATAGTTCATTTAAGGAAAAACGAATATAAGGCCCCAGGCTCAAAACTGAATACTTTAAAACGGTTTTAATAACTTACAAGCCTTTATGGACATGCTCGCAACATCTCACCAAAGTTTTATCGGAATCGGATAAATGGCCTAGGAGCGCATGTGGAAAATATTCTTTTTTACAAAGCTCACAGAAGAAAAAAAAAACGAATTAAGGGCTAGGAACGGAAAAATTGATAAGGTTTTTAATGACTCATTTGAATGGCCATTTATTTGGACAACAATTGACTAAAGTTTTGTCGCAATCGCATGAATGGTGTGGTAGCACATACGAGACATACAGACATACACACATTCATTTATATATATTTATATATATATATATAAGTAGTATCTGTGGGCAGCAATATTGCGCCATAAATGGCCATTCAACTGAGTCATTAAAAACCTTATCAATTTTTCCGTTCCTAGCCGATGGCCCTTAATTCGTTTTTTTTTTCTTCTGTGAGCTTTGTAAAAAAGAATATTTTCCACATGCGCTTCTATTGCTGCCCACATATACTACTTACCAGCTAAGTGCTATTTCTTATTTTTATACAGTTTTTTCTGTTGTTTTGTTCGCTGACGAAGGCTTTCTGCCGACACGTTCGCCGTTTTCTTGCGTTTATTTTTTCAGGTTTAACCATACTCTGTTTTACTCATTTTATTTTATAAAATATTTACAATTAAAATAGTTCCCTAGTTGATACTTTAAAAAGAATTTTAATTAATAATCTTATGATTGTTTTTAGGAATCGGATCGTACTTAAATCGTATAGGCTCTTTGGCGTTACTTCACTGCAGCTCATTCTTATAAATTTTTATTGTACTATTTTAGCGATATAAGTTATTTGCGATTTGTATTTAAGATCTAGTTTAGTGTATATTTCAAAAGAAATAATTTCACACTACAATATTTTTAATACGTTTTTAAATATAAATTTAACAACAGATTTAAGGCTGATGGAAGATGAACCTTAAAGCACCGACACTCATATTAATTGTATTAAATGCAACATATGGAAAAGGTGGTATGTAATTTTTGCTATTTTATTGGCTAATTTGACTGACATGTTAAGATTAAAACATTTTTTTGAAAAAGTGTATTATTTCTCCTACAACGAATCAAAAACATGAACCATTAGTAACGTCATTTTTAAAACTGTAATTAAAGAAAGATTAGTTTTCTTTTTTAAAAAAAATCATTTTTAACATTTGAAGTTGAAGACATTTGAAAGACATTGCAAAAATTGTGCTAATTTCTCTTGCTAGACCCTTTAATTTAATGAAAAGAAATTTATTGATCGTTATTTGTCCAATGATTTTTTTGTTTAATGTTAATAAGAGTGGCAAATAACATTTAGTTTCCCTGACTTAGAGTAAAAATCATTAAATGATAAAAAGGAAATACCAGAGTCTTTTGAAAATGACAACATTCAATCAAGAACCTAACACCCAGTTTAATTACGCAATGATTAAACGAACGCCTTGCAACAGTTGTATGGAAAACAAAAATTCAGACAAAACTTTCAAGACTGAAACTTACATGTGTGATCCAAAATAATAATAATTTTTTGTTTGTTAAATAAAGATATATTAAGTTATTTTATTGCTCATCAACTGGGTCCATTATTTTACTCAAAAGTAAAAAGGAAGTATAAATTAATAATGTTTTGTTGAATACATTAATCTATTTTTATTTCTATTTAAAACATATTTAATACATACATTACACAATCACATATAATATTTTATCATTGAAATGAAATAAAATATATTCATAACGTAAAAAAAACTTTTATTTTCTTTCGAAATAGACATGATAAGAACTTAGGGGCTCAGAGTGATCATACCACAATCATAATTATCTAGAAAAAATATACTTTATATTTTATTAAAAATAGTTTTTTACTTAGTTTTTAATGAAATACATTTTTTTGACAATTTTAGGGGAATCAAACGCTACATGTTTTCCAATAGAAGAAGGGAGAGAATGCAATTTACTGTTTGAATGGAACGTAAATTCTTCAAATACAGGATTTTATGTTGAAAATCAAGAGTTGTATGTTTCATGCTGTAATCAAATTTCCCTACACTGTGAAAACAAGTTCCCTACAAGATATATTAGCACTTTATTAAGAAATTCTTCAAGGCTTATTCTAAATATAAACATCACAGAAACGAATTGCAATCATTTACACTCAAGTGGAAAATGGACTTTGAGATATAATAATACGGAAAAAGAATTTCTTTCATGCATCGTAAACATATTTTGTAAGTATATGATTTTCTAAAACACCATAGTTTAATACACCTTAAAAAATACCGGAAAAGTAAATGCAATAAATTTTGTATTCATGATTAACTGTATTTTGCGTCGATCCTTCTTTTGCATTTTTGCAAGTTGAAGTTGCTGAATTCATTTGGGGAAAATTTATAAAACAATAGCATGTTATTTTGGATAAAAAGGACGCATTAAACATATGTTTAGTTTACTAAAATCTTAATATGTGTGAAAAACATTCTTTTTCATAGTTTTAAACAAAAAATACGGACTATTATTATGTTAACAAATTATATATATATATATATATACATATATATATATTTATATATATATATATGATTACCTTCATTTCAAAGGATAAACATTTTCCTAATTTTAGTTAAACGAAAAGACTAAACTGATTTAAAACAAAAACGTATGCAATCTTAACAATTGCTCATTAATATTATACGCACATCTAATAATCAGTGTTTCTTTTTAAATTCATTTTCTACGGGAAACGGGGGGGGGGGGGGGGGGGGTGGGGGGGGGGGGGGGGCATTTCGGATGTTTTTGGAGGCGGTTTTTTTGGCGTGGGGAGGGGGGGGGGGGGGGGGAGAGCGACTACTGAAAACCTTTTTTTTCCATTTAAAAAAGGGGGGGGGGGGGGGGGGGGTTCGGTTGTGAGGGGGTGGGGGACATTTCAGATGTTTATGTAGGCAGTTCTTATGGCGTAGGAAAGGTGGGAGGAGAGGGTAACTCGACTACTGAAAACCTTTTTTTTCCATTTAAAAAGGATAGGTAGCTTCCGACAACTTCAGACTTTTAAATGAGTAAAAATTATTAGCCCACTGAAGAGGACATTAACCCTACCACATAACTCCCCATAAATTTTTGATACATTCAAAAGCAAATCGTGCAGTTTGGCGTATTCCTTATAATCATACTTTCTTTCATAATTTTAGATCCAGGTAAGTGATTATTCAGGAGTGTGTATGTGTGGGGTGGGGGTGAGTGCATATATTTACATGCGCTATTTATATAGCACGTTACGTTAACACTCAAAATTAAAATACATGAATTTGTATTACTTCTCAACTCTCTATTGGAATAGAAAATAAATGAATCTAATATAGTACTCTACCCTGTCTCAGTTTTAAAAATGAAAACTCAACTGGAAATAACTTCAACTAGCAACATAAAGATGGCTATGGTACATCACCTACTTGTCTAAATGTAACTCAACAGGTACTAACACAACTGTTAATCCCTTGCCGTGTAACTCCAACTAACAAACCCTATATTCACATACTTTAATCTATTTTTCTATCATCCATTCACAATTAACCGAAATAATAAAACTCTTAACACAGCGTTAGCGTTTACCATAACAAAGGTTATTTTATTACATGTGTCAAGAATCTATAAATACGGTAAGCAAGGGAAATTCGGACACTTACAAAAACGGCAGCAAACCTATTCAACCTAAAGTAAAGGAAAGTCATCCGCAAAATATTCAACAAACAATCCATATGGATGAAGCATACAAATTTTTTCAGGAATTGTATGGATTACATCAGTATTCCAGGCTAGGAGAAGAATTAATTTATGTATATTTTTTTTAACAAACAACATGAAATACATTGTTTTAAATGAGTTATATAACTCTTAAAAAAGTAGAAAATAAATCTTTATTTCTTAAAATCCATAAGGCAAAAATATTTAATCTGTAAAATAATTTGAAACGTGTAACTTTTATTTTTATTTGTTTAATTATTTTAAATAAATTACCGTAATTAAAAATGAAAAAAACAAAACAATTAAATTTGAATAAAACATAGTTAAAAACCAAGAAGTATCAGGGAACGCCATAAGTCTTGAGACATCTCTGGGTGTTTTGTCACATATTTAAGGTAAAATCATAAGTTTATATAAAAAAACAGTAAACTTTTCACGAAAATACATTTAAAATGAAAAGTTTAATGATTATTGACAAGTTTTGATGAATAATAAAATCGATTGAACCAATATTGTACAGGCAAAAAAGTTTAATCTTTTAAGATAAAGAAATTTTTTTGTAAAATTTCATCTCTCCATAACAAATTAAAGGGAGGTGAACATAAACTAGTACGTTTTTCTTTACATATAGGGAAATATTTATATTCCATTTAGCGCAAAATACAATTTAGGCCTATGGATAATGTTTATTTGATTTTTAAGAATATTTCATTAAAAAAACATAAGACAGGTCAGACGTGGAGATTGGCAAATAGATTATTCTTTAAATATGAGAAAGCTTCTTTGAACAATATTTCGAAAATATAATTTTTCAGCGATGAAAGAGTTGCGCTTTTTTTTTACAAATTATTATACAAATATATTAAATCTGTTAATGATAGAAACATTTAAAATTGTGCATCGCGTTGTACCATATAGCTATGGCTGTTTTTTTTTCTTTACATTTACAGCATCTTTTTTTCTTTAGTCCATGACAATAAAATGTGTTTGAGTAGTGCTATATTGTGTAGAAGAAAAAACATTCTCGAAATTCAGTAATTTGTGAAAATAAACACACAATACATTATACCCGATTTAGACACAAAAGTACAAACTTAAGTTGTAGACTTTGAGACGTCGCACAGTCTTTTAAAAGTAGGACAATACGACTTTTGTTATTGCTTTCACAAACTCGAGGTCACATCTTAAAGTTATTAATTAATCATGCAATAGGATTTAATAAAGGTAAACTATTCATTGGCTTCATACAAAAAAAGCTTACAATAGCATAGAAATAATAATATTTTTTAAAAAGTCAACTTCGTCATAGTTGGTACATTCAAATATCTTATATTAGATGGTAGTTTAAGAACACTGTGTGGTAGAAATAATACTTCAATTTAAGGGTTCACATTTTACGTGAAAGCATCTTTCATCAATATTTTACAACAGAATATACAATTCGGATAATTTCTAAGCGACCAATACAAAATACCTAATCCGCAAGGGTTTTGCTTCTACGTGGCGTGGTGGACTAGTAAGGTCGACTCGACCGCCCTAAATTAAAAATCTAATGTCAAAAGTCTGTCTGAGAGAAAATTTCTAGCCAACATCCAGTACTCTTGGTTAGTACGACTATCAATAATCTAAACGCTCGTCTTTAGACCCCCCCCCCCTGTAGATCGTTGAAGGGTCTCAGGCCGACTTTATAAGCTCAAGAAGTGGATCTTACTCTACTTCTGAAGATGTCACTGTAAAAAAAATTAGTGGTGGACTAGTAAGTTCGACTCGACCGCCCTAAATTAAAAATCTAATGTCAAAAGTCTGTCTGAGAGAAAATTTCTAGCCCACATCCCGTACTCTTGGTTAGTACGACTATTAATAATCTAAACGCTCGTCTTTAGACCCCCCCCCCCCTGTAGATCGTTGAAGGGTCTCAGGCCGACTTTATAAGCTCAAGAAGTGGATCTTACTCTACTTCTGAAGATGTCACTGTAAAAAAAATTCCATTGCACATAACGGGTTTTCAGTATACCTCTTCACTTGCACAAATTGCCAAGGGCTTGTAACACTTTGCCACACCCTCTCAAGCAAAGCTTGTAAGGAGCAGAAAGATTTGTGTGATGGGTACTCTGTCCTTGATTGTGGCATCATGGGTAAATACTTTATTATTAGCAATTTATATACATAACGCCATAGAAACACTTTGTGCCGGCCTTTGCATGGCACAACTTCCTTTTCTTAAAGAAGTATTGATGGGAATTTCAACGCCCATATGGGGGAGAATAGGCATCCGACACAAACGCCTCAGTGCACTATTTAGAGAAGGGCGATCTCACCTTCAACCTCATAAGGTATCGGAAGGGAGCAATGTTCCAATACTGCTCCATACGGGCAATAGTGCCATGTCTCGTCCAGATATAACACTGGTCTCAGCGTAGCTTGAGACAAAATTGCGAAACGGCGCCCTTCCTGATATTGTTAACGACCACTGATCAGCTCTCTTAACACTAGAACTTGTGAAGGTGAACCTTGGTTTGATAGGTTGCACTGCACAAAGCTAAATGTAGTCTATTCTGCAAAGGAATAGAGGACACGATCGTTGAATTATCAAGGATTCAAGTTACCGATGAGAGCATTAACTGTCGAGGAGTGGGAGGGGTAAATATCACACACGCATTGTACTTACGTCCTGCTAGAAATTACTGTACTACTGTAAATATATTCATGTATAAAATTGTGAGCAAAAACACGAAAACGTTATGATAATAATTTACAACAAAAAAAAAACAGTGTTTGATATTTTTACAGCATTTGCGATAAAATATACTATTTTTTAAAATCAAAATTTCAGGATGATTATTTTTGTATTTGTGCATAAATGTACGTATTTTTTGCCCGCTCGATTTTTAATAATTATATTTGGTTCCAACACTCCTCTACCTTTCAGATTAACTATGTATAACTTGTGATACTTATACGATTATTACATATTTACGGGGATAAGGCTTAATAGACATTCATTCTCTTTTTTTAAATTTCTTTTCCTAAATTTTAAATCTTAAGTTATTGGTTATGTTTTTTAAATGATGTTATGTTTTGTAAATTTTTTATTTCAATAAATAGTATTTTATGCTGATCCGACTTCGAGTTTAATCCACGTTAAACTTCAATAGTATCTCTTTTTTTTTTACTAGAGACAGACTGTGATCTGCTCGTCCACCCAATATATATATATATATATATATATATATATAAATTAATATCTATAGCAAATGCTTGTCTGCCAAACAAAGTGACCACAGACTGCAAAATAATCGTCGGTCACATACCTTCAGAAGTTATGTTTTTGACGCCAGCTTAACTCGATCCCAATAATCTCGCGATGATGCGTGTAGAACTTGTATACATTATATCAGGGACATCATGTTTTAGGACCGGGGGGCGCAAATGTCCCACCCTCGGAATTTGCATTTTTTTTTAAATTGATATGTACTTTTGCGTAATAAAAAGCTGCTCAAAAAGCCAGCAAAATGTTGTTTTTGCCCTACACACTAAAAATAAACCAAAATTTACGTTCCTGCATTTTTAATATTGTATGTTTATTTATTTGCTGTTAAGAAACTGTGTTGTACATTTTTAGGAGGTTGAGGTAAACAAGCCTGCAGAGCACTCGCTGTGAAATAAAAAGAGAATGGATTTTTCCATGACAATTAGTGTGCACATTAACACAATCTATTTTTTTTAAAAATGTATAAATCAAAACATTTTAAAAAATAAAGAATGGTCATGTTGATGTCCAGGAATTTCTTTTATCTGCCTGAAGAAAAATATCAATAAAATCACATTATAATTTTATGAGGTTATGAAATTGATGGTTGTTTTCATTATAAACATGTATCTTTTATTTATATTTTGATATATATATATATATATATATATATAAACAGCAAGAGCTACTGAAGTAAACTGCACAACTTTGGAGACTAAAGAAATGCTGAATATCACCTGTTTTACCTATCGTTTATTTCCTCAAGGCAAATGCGGATTTCATACCAATGTTCCAGAGGTAATATTATTACTTAAATAGCTAACCTTAGAAATTTCTATTTCTTTATATAGCTAAAGGTGTGTGACATGAGCATTACATTATGTAACAGAGAGGTTTTATTACATTTGTTGTTGTATTAATTATATTTGTAAATATTTTTTGTTTAATATTTTTTTAACGCTCTATAGATAAATGAAATGCTCCCAACACTTCAAGTGAACTATTCATACACTAAAGAGACTTTTCCTGAAGAGAAAACATACTTTACAACAACATGCTTTATTTTAATACCTTTAAACAAATTTGGCAATGGACTTCATAAAATATCTGTGTCGATGTATCCAAACGTAACTGGATTTGACCAAGACATCATTTTTGGTAGAAACACAACGCTTGAGGTAGAACTAGGTAATAACTTTTTTGTACACATTTCTATGTTTTCAAATGTTTGTACGTTTTCATGTTATTTTAAAGTGAATTAACAATTTAAAGTTTAAAGAAAAACTCCTTATATTAGTTTTTTTTTTAATAACATGTAACATATAGGGATTCTACTGGGATCCGAAAAGGGATGCCAACTAGAATAAATCACTTTGGGATCATCATGCTATTGTGATCTGGGTCCAAATACCATTTGGATATGAATCCCAACTGCATTTGAATCTCGATAAAATTTTGGGAAATGGCATTACAACAGGGACATAATCTCTTGCTACCAGATAAACCAGAATATGAGTCAAATCAGCAAACATACCACAAGATACCAAGAACACGATCGGGGAGGGAAATAAAGACTAGAATAATAAACTAAATTATTATAATTTTTGGAAGATTAATTAAGTTATCGCGATTTAAATATACGTATTGTTGTCAATGTTGGGATGTCTCACCTCTTTCTAGACAGATGGGGATGTTGTGATCTCACTGTTGATTCCTTAAGTTGTCCGTGCGATAAGCCTGTACCTGTTGAATTGAGATGGGGGATGCCACGTAGTTTTCCTTGTAGCTAGCAATTAAACATGTAGGCAAAAAGATAAACAGTGGTGCTAATTTTCCTAAAGTATCCATAGAATTACTAAATATAAAAGGCACATAGCTCGAAATAAGTTTTTTTTCAAATGCAATCACACGATACATCGGTTATATTTGCTTGTCCTATAAGTCCGTCACAATGTGACAATGGTATGGAAATCGGAGGAAGAAATCCACAAAGCCTGGAATATTTACTCTAGGCTTGTTCTCAAATGCAAATCGCCTCTCTCCACACCGCTTGATATTCCAAGTAAAAATATGTGGATGATACAGCTTGGAACCAGTGGCGTCGCAGGAAATGACATTGTAGCAATGTTATTCGCTTACGAGACTCCGTCTTCATGTTTGAATTCAGAGTTTCCATCACTTAGATGAGTTTCCATCTAATGTTAACGAGTCTTATCCACCCGGGATGCTTTTGATGTTTTCGTTAGACTGAAATTTGGTGGGGATTGAACTCCAGACCATCAATTTGAGATTGGCTCAGCACCCAAATATATATATATATATATATATATATATATATATATATATATATATATATTATAAACAATCCACCCGGGATGCTTTTGATGTTTTCGTTAGACAGAAATTTGGTGGGGATTGAACTCCAGACCATCAATATGAGATTGGCTCAGCACACAAATATATATATATATATATATATATATATATATATATATATATATATATATTATACAAACAAACGTGAAGATTTGTTACCGTGTCTTTGTGATTTTGTTTCGCATAACTCTCTACATGGATTAATGGATCTTAAGCAAACTTGACACACATTCCATCATTATCAAAAATTAAATACTTGGCCGGGGTGTTTAACTTTTTATCACATTTTATTTTGATATCGGGTACTCATTTTTCTCATTTTAGATTTATGAAAAAATGCTAACAAATATTCCTACATGAATGACTAGGTCTTTCTCAAACTTAGCGTATTCTTGATTACTCATATTCAAATACCGAAGGAAACAGAATTCATAATATACATTTCTTTGGTAAACAAGGGAGGGGGGGGATTTTATTTTTCGTAGCATAAGCTATATAGATACCAAAGAAAACAATGAGTTCTTTGTAAATTGATGGGTCTCGTCCTAGCTTCGTAGCAATACATTTGATAGTTCTGACTGAATAATCGGAAAAATTAAAACTAATCTTATCCAATGCGTTTAAGGTCGGTCTAGAGGTTTCATGATAGGTCGATAATTAATTTACTTTAAGTTTAACGCAATTTAATCCAAATAAAAAAGGGTACGTCGGGATCCCTCCAGGAAATGGTACGCCAATGTTAAAGAGGAAACAATTGATAAACGAGATATGATTAGGATTCAACGGACTTAAAATCCCACCGGAAAGGAAATACTAAAAGAGAATCAATCTGAAAGGATCGGGAGGCCGCAAGGATTCCAAGCGAATCGTCATCCACAAGGGTGGGGATCTAACAGGCCAAAAGGATGTCATTGGAAAACGGTATCAAATCTGAAACGGAATCCGTTTGGGATCCCTCCGAGAAATCGACCCGTCTGGAAAAGCGATCCGAATGATGTCGTAATCCCACCGGGACTGGAATCCCACGAGTTTAAGATAACACAGGGAAACGTGATCCCACCTGAAAACCAAACGGGTAAGAAAAGTTTACAAAAGTTTTTATATATAAGTTTTCATTGGAAAGAAATTAATTATTTCATTTTTACTATAGCTGTTTTGCAATATTTTACACTTTAATTTAAATGTTTAATAAAAGGCTGAAGACCCTTTTTTAAAATTTTAATTCTTGGAATCGCCGGTTATATCTGCTAGTATAAATTATATTAACATGAAAAAGGGGCGTTTTCTTCCACGTATTTTTCTATATATATTGTTATAGATTTTGGCACATATATCAATCATCATCATGAAGGAACTCCTGTGGGGTTTGAGCTTTTTATAACATTTCTTTGGGGACCGGGGGTCAAAAATTACTTTTGCCCCTTTAAGATCTATATAAATAAAAAGGAGCAACTAATATTCCTAAACGCATAGATAAATCTTGACCAAAATAAGTACTCATGCACATTATTATATTTATTCAAAAAGTCATAATAACTATAGCTCTGGGGCCAGAAGCCCCATCTAATTTTGCCTAGTAAAAGCTTATAATATACCATTTGGCTTTGAAAGACATTAAAATTTGTCGAACAGTAGACACCCATATACACAAACATATATATATATATATATATATATATATATATATATATATATATATATATATATATATATATGTGTGTGTGTATATATGTGTGTGTATATATATGTATATATATATGGCAATGTGCCACTATTTGCNATATATATATATATATCTATATGTGTGTGTGTATGTATGTGTGGCATCTTTCCGTCTGCGGGAGACGATAGATTATCTTTATTGCTTGCCTCTTGGTGTGGCTGGTGAGACCAATTCTCAAATGACAGTCTCTGTTGCATTTCCCACACACGAATGCGTTGGAGCAGTATTTACCGGCCTTGCTCGACGCTCTTTTTGCAGCTTTTTCCGCCCTGTTTTGATCCTCGGCATTTAGTGATATTGCCTTCAAGATGCCCCACCATGAGGATCGATCCTCTGCCAGCTCCTCCCAGTTTGAGATGTCGATGTTGGCCGACTTCATGTCTGTTTTGCATATTTCTAAGTATCTCAGACGAGGCCGTCCAACTGACCTTCTCCCTGTCGCCAGCTCGCTGTATTAGCACTTCCTATGGTATTCGACCAAGTTGCATTTGCTTGACGTGTCCAAGCCAGCGGAGGCGTCTTTGGATTAACATGGCTGGGAGGCTACACATGTTTGTTTGGGACAGGACATCCGCGTTGGGGACTTTGTCTTGCCATTTAATGTCAATGATGTGGCGCAGGCATTTGAGGTGGAAGCTATTGAGCCTTCTTTCGTGTTAAGAGTATGTGGTCCACGACTCGCATCCATACAGAAGTGTGCTCAGTACGCAGGCCTGGTACACCTGAAGCTTAGTTCTTGTTGTGAGTTTGACTCTTTTCTTCAGTCTGGCCATAACAGTTGCGGCCTTCCCTATCCTGCCACTTATCTCATCCTCCATAGAGAGGTTGCTCGATATGTTGGATCCCAGATATGTGAATCTGTCAACAGTATCCACGTCTCTTGGCATGTCTGTTGCGCTCTGCAGCTGGTTTTCTTCCAACTTATGTTGCATGGAAATCCTGTGCAAAGTGATAAGCCTTGAAGTTCGATCCTTTGCTTTTTCCTCCCACGGTCTTATATACATAAGCACACAAACATATGTACATGAAATTCGTTTGACTCCACAAGACGAATGAATAGCTAATGATACTTCATCAAATGGCTTTCAAAACCAATCCACGTATGACAGTTTCAGCTAAACTTTTAGCATTAGAACTTTCACTCCTATTTAAATGTGGACTTCCACAATGCTTATGTTTTAAAGAGGGGTATTGCAGTCTTTTTATATTTAATTTAATTGCTCTAAAAAAAGCTTTGCTCCTCCTAAAGGGTCGTCACCTGTGCAGTAACTTAGCCTGGGCGGGATTTTAGGGAGACCGGTTGTTGCAAAGTTCAGTTATTCCACACTCTTCACGAAGCCAGTAGATCCAAAGGAAATTACAAAAGTCTATACATCTTCGTATTAACGCTGTCCAGGGAGTTCAAGAAATGACATTATTCTTAGCGAGAGTTCTAATTCGGGTCTGTCTGTCAGGATTCATTTTACTGTTTTACTTTACACCCATAGTCTTACCATAGCACCCCGCATTGATTGTATATATGTATATTGATATTCATTCAAAGCGTTTTCCATTTTCTGAAATTTCGATACACATACATATTTGCAAGCCAATCATCTTTTTGTTAACCTAAAACTAAATTAGATATTGTTTATACCTTATTATATCACCGAAAGGTAGTCAATTGTTCATCTGAGTATTTTTCTAGTATACCATACATCTACTATAAACATTAGAAAATATGTATGTTCGCATCTGATACATATCCGCATTGATTTATTGATAATTTTATTTCAGCTTCATAATCGAAAAGTTAATACATACGAGATTTTAGTTTTATCATTACCGTTTTATATTGTTGCGTGACTAACATTGTTTTAATTTGATTAATAAAATAAAATTACCCGAAATAGTTAGATATAGACCAGTGGTTCTCAAATTTTCGAATGCCGTTACCCTTTAATACAGTTCCTTATCGTATGGTGACCCTCAACCATATAATTATGCTCCTTGCTTTTATCATAAATATGTATTTTTCAATGGTCTTAAGACACCCTGTTTAAGAGTCGTTCGAACTCCAAATGAATCAAGACCCACCTTTAAAGAAACTCTGATCTAGACAAATTTGGGTATTAACACACTTTATAATTTATATTGAAATTTAGGATGGTTTAAACTCATGATATACAGCAGTGTCAAGGCCAGGAACACTATTTTTATTTTCTACATTAAAAGTTATATCTCTTACATTTTTCAAATGGGACAACATTACAATTTTAACCTGTTCATATGATGAATTAATTCCCACTCTTAACGGTAATACAAATCTCAAATTAAGGATCTAATCCAAGAAAGGCCCTTACAAGTTATGGCTTTCTATTTTAGATCATTTAGGCTTAAAATAAAATGTTTGTTGAAAATTCATTTCAATATTTTTTTTAAATGATCATAAAAACATTATGTGAATGTTCAAACAAGTTCTGTGTAGTTCAATACAGATATTAAGACTATGGAAATTTGAATGGAATCTATAAGGCAGTGCGTGTGAATGAACAGTGTGTTCCGGAGTCAAGCAAAGAGTCAATATTATTGAGACTTTGTATATAAGGTATATTTATGTTTATGTTTATTGTGGGAAATAACAACATAGAAAAAAACAACAGCAATCGGTGGCCAGTATCAACAACACAGTATAACCAAGTACAGCTCAGTACAACCCAGTATTGATTAGTGTTAGACTGATACACACCACTGACTTCACGTATCTATAGAGATATACAAGCAATTGCGGAGTCAAATCTGACCCAAATGGACATCAATAAAAAGATGATTCAGCAGAATGATTTGCTGTTGAAACTATCAACAGTCCATTAATTATGAAATTCACAAGTTTCAATAGTAATGAAGAGACGTTCACGGACTACTACGCTAGATATGTGACCTTTGTGTTAGCAAGGAAAAGCAAACAAACATTTTCGTAATCAGCCAAACGCAAGAACTCTATAAAATGTTGTCAACACTAGTACAACAAAGAGACCCACCACAAAAATTAAATGTTTTAACCTTGGAAGACATATGGGGTAATGATGGGTCAGTTAGCACCAACAAAATTTGTGATCAGGGAAAGAGTCCAATTCGGGTGTGCTTCAAGTAGAAAACCAGGGGAGACAATCAAATTATTGACAGCTAGAATAAGACAAGTTGCAACCACTTGTGAGTTTGATAATTTAAGATATACTCTAGATGAAGCTTTACCGACAAGATTGATGTGTTATTTCAAAAACAAAAAAAGTAGTGAAAAGTTTGTTTAGAATGAAGGACACTGATTTATCATTTAACAAGTCAGTAGAAATAGCTGTTGAAACACAAGATGCAGCAAAATGTGCCAAAGAAACGGTCCATGATGAAACTCCTATTAAAACAGCTCAGACAAACAGAAATAAGCAATATCAGACAGCAGAGACATTTTCTCCACCTCAAAGAGAGGATTTTCCGATTGGAACTTGTGACAGCTGTGGAGGAAGAGGAAATAAAGGTACTGTCTGCAAGTATAAAGACATGATCTGCCGCTTTTGCGACAAGAGAGGACATCAAGAAAGGGTTTGTCTTAATAATAAGAAGAATGCGCCAAAATATTAAAAGAATAGGAAGGCGAAACCAAGTAAATACTGACCCACCCTTTATTCAAGAAATAATTTTAGAAGGAAAGAGGTTTACAATCGAAATTGACACCGGAGCCGGAGAAAATTTTATGTCTGAATCTGTTTGGTGAAAGCTGGGACAACCAACCTTGAACCCAGTGTCTGTTAAGTACGAGTCAGCGTCTGGTGCTTAACTTAATGTTTTGGGAGGTGTTGAGATAAATGCTGATGCAGGGAAAATATCTACAAATATTCATTTTTTAAATAAATGATTACTTCTTAATTTTTTTAAGAAGAACCGCATTAAAGAACCTCAAGATTTCACCAGAAACACTATTTCAAACAAAGATAAATCACATTAGTAATCAAAACTCATTGAGTAAAGCGTGTGAACAAATCTTTAAGCAATTCCCTCACCTTTTTAAATCAGGTCTTGGACTATTGAAATAATTTGAGCTAGAAAATAAGTTCAAGCCAATTACGCAACAATTTATATTAAATCTAGAACTGTTCAATTTGCGGTAAAGACAGAGATAGCAGAGGCTTATAAAGCAGGAATATCCTAAGGAGTCTGGACCAGTACAGTTCAATCAATAGGGCACTCCCGTAGTTCCAGTAAGAAAGAAGTCGATCTCATGAAAGAAAGTCACAAATTATGGTCGTGCAGACTATACGAAAACTGTAAATCAACATGTAGAAACACCCAGGTACTCAATGTCATTACCAGAAGAATAATGAGAAAGTTAGCAAGTGGACGGATTTGCCCGGAATAGCAGTGTACACGGACGACATTCTAGTGAGAGCGAAAGGATGAGGAAGACAATGTAAACAACCTTCGCAGGTTATTACACAGACTGATTGAAAATGGATTAAAGTGCAGGATCGAAGAATGCATCTTTGTCCAGAAATCAATCGAATATTTAGGGCATAAAAAATCAAGAAATGGCATATCAAAAGGAGCTAAAGTAAATGCAGTTATATCCAGGCTAACCTCCCACAGATATTTCCTCTCTAGGGTCATTTCTTGGTCAAGTGCAGTTTTACAGCAAGTTCTTACCAGACCTATCAATTTTACTTAAGCCACTGTATTATTTAACTAAAAAGAGCTTATGATGGAACTGGAAAACGGAATAAAAATAAGCTATTAAGAAAGTCAAGCAATTGCTTTCTATTGATATAGTTCTAGCTTACGATTATTCAACTCTAGACATAGGCATATCCTGTGACGCCTCTAATGTTGGTATAGGAAGTGTTCTGTTCCACAGATATCCTGATGTCGGTGAAAGCCCTATTGCTAACATTTCAAAAACTCTCTCAGCAACACAACGCAAATATAGCCAGATTCAGAAGGAAGCCCAGTTAAATCGTTTAGCCAGATAGGCTCTTATCTTAAGTTAATAAGACTCTATTATTGAATTCCGTAAGTCAACAGAACGTAGCAATGCAGTTGCCCTTAGTCGTCTACTCTCAGGGGATGATGACATTGGTGATGGTTAAGAAAGTGAAGCAGACATGGATTATGTGTGTATGATCAAACAAATCAGTTTACAGATCAGACCAGCAGACCCAGGAGTCGTTGCTAAAGAGTCCCTTAAAGATTATACTGTTTCTGCAGTGATGAGATATTGACTAGAGCGCTGGCCATCCACTACAAACAAAGCTCACTTGAACAAGGATGCAGCTAATATTGCAGCTTTTAAAAATATTCAAGACTTACTCTCCTTGGACTGGGAATCGTCTATTTTATGGTTCAAGATTTGTTGTACCAAAAATACTACAAGCTCGGGTTCTCTAAATCCTGCATACAGGACATTTTGGATTTGAGTGGATGAAACAGGTCGTCAGATCCACTGTATACTGTCCTGGACTTGATGCTGAAATCATGGCGATAGGTTATGCCAGGCATGTGCAGAAGTTGCCAGAGACCCAAACAAGCATGTATCCACCCATGGATGCAGCCTGAAAAACAATGGAGTCAAGTGCATATCGACAATGCCATTTAGTCTAAGGGATCAGGTTGGCTGGTGGTGATAGATGCTTATTCAAAGTATCCGTGTATCCACAGGACAACATTTACATCAAACAAAGCCACCCTTGATCTTTTAATGGACGATTTTGCTTATTTCGGCTATCCACATATCATAGTAAGTGATAATGCTGCAAGATTCTTTTCTGAAGTGCAGGGACAATATCTTAAAGAAATAGCCGTCCGTAATGGTACAAATAGATGTCTTAGTGAATCATTTAACCAAGGATAACCATGCTACTTCAGAATATATAGACGAAAAACAGACTCTAAACAACGATTGGCTCCCAGTACAATCATCCAAGTTATAGGTCCACGTCTTTTCAAGGTGAGGATTTAACCGACTGGTCTCATATTGAAGAGACATTTAAACCAACTTCACCACAGGTATAAAGCAGGTGGAGATTCAGAACCAGGTATGGATTTAATGACATGAAATCTTTACCCAACAGCTCAGCAAGCCCTGAGCAATTAACCGTCTACACATCCAACAACTCCAAGTCCACCTAAGAAGAAGATTAATTCTCGACATCCAAGACCCTCAGACAATGTCATACCTAAAAGATCTCAAAGACAACGCATAGCACCATTGTTACTGAACGTGTAATCGTTCTGGGAGGTTTTATAATGGACTAGCGGAGTAGATCGTCCTAATAGCCAACTATGTCAAAAAAATGTGCATACGAAGCGACTGTAAGCAGTGTGTGTGAATGAACAGTGTGTTCCGGAGTCAAGCATATAGTTAACAATATTTAGAAATTGTATATTAGGTATATTTATGTTAATGTTTATTGCTGGAACTAAAAACATAGTACAAAAACTTCTCATAAATGAGATACGTAAAAAACGCAACAAAATGGAATATTGATCTGATTTTTATAGTGCCCCTATCTTAAGGGTAACTAAACTTCACCATATTTGGAACGGTTTTCCTTTTTTATCAAGTCAAGTTTTTGAAGTGTCCAGCTTCCTTATTAAATGAAACGGAAGGCAACTTAAATTCACTGTTTACTTGAGTTATTGTACCTTGGAATTTTTAAAGACAAAACTTTTCGTTTTAATATTACTTTGGTAAACAAAGAGTTTTTGGCAGAGTTCTAAATTTACATGTATGCTAAAAAGGCAAAAGGTATTTGTTTGTTTTTTTTTTGCTTTGTTGTTTTTCCGAATACAGAACTAACAAAATCCTGGAGTTTCACTGGCATATGTATTTATTAATTTATATATTTCTAAATATATTTCTTTAGACACAGGAAGAGTGGTTCTAAAACAATGCCCTGAAATCGTAGAAGAAGAAACACATGTGAAGTGTATATGTGAAACATCAAATATTAGAAATTTAAATATTTCTCTCACCTGGTTTGGGGACAATTTCCTCAATCTGACCAATGATACAACCGCAATTCTTTCTTTCAATGTAACAAGGAGGAATGAAGGTAATAACACTTCTCACTTTATTTCATTGCGTAGGTTTATTTTTAGTAATAAATTATAAATATATATATATATTTTACACATGTGATAAAATTTAACTTTCTATCCACAAATCTTCTCGTTCGCGGTGTTAGTGCGGACTAAGCAACATTGATGAATAATTTGATGAGGTATAAAATGAGGACTCATAAGTTGGATGATAGATCAGTATATTCTATTGGAACCATAATGACATTAAATAAATAAGGAATGAGTCGTCATAGTAGGTGCTGAGTACCAGAGACGTGGGTGTTCATCAAAGTTGCAGAACAGATTTACAAAAAAGGCTTTCATGATCGGCGAGTTATTTACTACCTCATGGTTGCCTTACGAGTGACGGAGGAATCACAATTTGTTATTAAAGCAAAATGAAGGAATTTTGATGGTCTCTTCAATTGCAGGAATGGTAGTCTTCTAACGCTTTTAAAAAGGAAAATAATTGTATGTGGCAAATAGGTGCAGCTCAAAATCGGAAAGTTGATTACCTTAATAATTTCCACAACCTACAGGGTTGATTCTACGTAGAATACTTTCACTGTCCTATATTAATTGCTTTCATATAATGTCAAGTGGTACATGGAAGAAAAGCTCTTTTCCATAGAAGGATGATTCTACTTTATCGCCTATAATAAGCTAAGCGAAGAGAGTAAAATAATTTTAAAACGATCAATTAAATATATTTAAAGACGAGCGAACAACGGCGTATTCCCAATATCTTATTGGAAAAAAACTTCTCATAAAAAAACAACAAAAAAAAAACAGAATTTGCAACTGTCATGTAGAGACCGTAATTCAAAAGTTATCTAATGACAGACCAAGTTACCTGATAAGTCATAATTATTGAAACAGTTTCTTCAAGGACTCTAAGACTAGTAAATTGTGCCACAAGTTGTGTTGTGCAAATTCTTCTAACTGTTGGCAATTCAAGATCTGTCCTCGAACAGCTCATATATCTAAGAGACGATGTATGTACTCCGGGGAAAACATGTGTCATCAGTAGCTACGTATCACTTGGTGGTAGAAATTCTAGGCCTTACGAAGGTTTTGTAGAGATATCTTCAACTACCAGCAAAAATGAATGATCAAGTTGTTTAATAAATGGGGATGCTATTGAAGTGTAGAACCCAGGTTTCTTAATGGAGAAGAGATGTGTTACATTTCTTGTGAATGCCCCAAACACGATAATAAATTTCGAGATTGCTGAAACTGAATCGTATTTCTTTTATTTGTAACAAAGTTCTCCCTAGGACTGTGATCATGCTTGTTAAATTGTGCAGTGATAGAGGGATTTAGATACCCACTCCCTTAAAAAAAAATTCAAAAATAAATAATTAAAAGAAATATTAGAGAGCAAAAAAGAGAACAAGAGAGTAACGATTTTCCAAAATTGTATATTTTACTTAAATTTTATGCATTCTTTAATTAATATTCTTCTTTTTTTATAAGTCGTATTACCACGAATTAAATCATTTATTTAACTTTAACAAGGACGAACGCTTCTTTCCTGGATATTTTTGTAAACACAGTCGAGGTAAATGGCCATGTGGATATCGGTTACTAACTTATAAAATGCAAATACATGTTCTTTAGTTTCTCTCTTTAAAAAATTGAAACACAATGTATTGATAAATTTATTTCAAAAAGGTGTCTGTTAATATATTGATCAAGTAAGGAAGAAAGTAACAAGTTAATAGCCTTTTTAAAAAATGCTTAAAGTGTGTTTTTACGTTGTTATTTAAATTTTTTTTATTTCGAACAATACAAACAACATTAAAAAATTTCTTCGTGTAAAAACAAATTCCAGAATTCGTTTGTTTTGGGTCTTCACTTACGGGCAGCAAAAATTATTCAACAGTTTACAAACCGACTGTTATAGGTATGTAGTGTCCTATAAAAAAAAACTGCTTAATAGTATCTGATTTTAAACAATCTAATTCATATATGTTATGTTTAAAAGAAGTAATATTAAAATAATGTACAAGCACATACAAGAAAGTTTAAAAGGTTATTAGACAACGTTTGAATTGCAATATCTAACGCATTTTAATTTTTTTTTTCAGTGAGACCTTACAACGTGTCATGTACGGACAATCAGGATAATGATAGTGTAATGGTTGCTTGCAAGTCTAGTCGAGGGTATCCAATTCCGAAGTGTGATTTCAGAATTTTAAAAAATACAGTAGGTGATTGTATTTTCTGGTTCTTAAATCATATAATAGTATTTATTAATTCAATGTAATTTTAAATAGTGACATAGGGTTCGAAGGAAGTGTACAACGTCCTTTATTTGTTTACTAATTTAACTAAATTTTCCTCTAACTTATTTGTGTTATGTCGATGCTTGGGATTTAAGTATTTATGATATTCCATAATATAATAACATGTTACAGAAACTTATGAAACAAAGAAAACAGTTTATTTTCGCTAGAAAGTTCTTACAACGATGTGAAGGTTTCTTGTCATTTTAAGCAAAATTTTACATCGTATTTATAAAATTAAGACTCATAAAAAATTATATCAAAATCAAAATAACGACATGTCTATAACAATTAAACCAATGTAGTCAGTGAAAAGCGTTTTAAAATAATATACAAAACTAAATAAACGTAAGAATATGCGTTCCATTGGAAAAATATATACAAATTATTTTAAATAATGTATAGAAAAGGACTAATATTTCCGAGAAATTACAAATGGTAAAACTCAATTGAAATCAATAATCATCAGATCCCATGTAACTAAGTCAAAATGTATTGAATTTTTATACATCTTAAAAATGACTTTTTTTAAATTTAATTATTCTTTCCATATAAATGTAAATTATATTGCATGATTTCACCCCCCACCCCCACAAACCCGGTCAAATTTTTCTCTTATCATACAACTTCAAATTACATTTTTAACAAATTTAATTCACTCTCTAATTCAATCGAATTTAAAATAACTTTTACTTTCAGCTTTGACTTCGCTACAGGCCAAAAGTTTCGATAAGCATTTGGTTTCGATCGAAAGTAATTTGTAATTTTTTAGACTGGTTTCGATTTTGTTTGAAATCTGAAAAACACCTTCGGTCTTTCGGTAATGTCAGAACGGCTTTGAGCAGAGTGTTTAAAAAAAAAAAAATATTTCCATTAATTTCAGCCATGAAAAAAATATGTTGACCTTTCGGAGATTTAACTTAATTTTTTTCTATAAACAAAAACCCTTTCAAAGTTCATTTCTTTTTTTAAATCTCATTTTTCTACGTACTTATTTATAAGCAAAGATGTAAGGAATTTGTGTGCTATGTTTAAATTTCTCGTGTTTATTCTTGAAGGTATCGTCACGTATCCTTTCGCCTAAAATTTTAACTAATTGCAATAATAACTGATAAAATTAAGCTAAACATAACGGCTGCAAATCGATAATGACGTCACATAAACAAAAAAGATTGAAAAGAATCGCTGACGAGCTCTTAAACAGTCGTATTTTTAAAAGGGTAAAATAACCCCAAAAGTAAAGACTTGTCACAATTTTAATTTTAATGTGTTTTCACGTTTTAAAATAAATACTTAGCTGACGAAACATCTTTATAACTCTAAAATTATTGAAAAAAAGATGTTAATTTTAGACATTTAAACATAAAAATATATTAATTAAAGAATAAAAGGCAACTCCCTCCACAAAAGAACATACCTTTGTTTTCTCCAACGAGCAGGATTCAATGGTGCTTCACAACACGACTGATTCGTTTAACGATGAATATCTGAACAATAATAAGCTGTACTACAGATCAGAATGTGTTTTTAAAATCCCAAAGTCTTACTTTCAAACGACATTTTATTTGTTGGTGACAATGTATCCAAACATTACTGGTTCTGATTCCGACATGGTGTATGGATCAAATTATACACATAAAATAGGTAAGACAAAAGATAGTTGTTTATTCTATTATAAATTACTGATATCTGGACAAAGTGAAACAATATAAGTTATACGCTTGTTCAGTGTGTTGGCATTAGTGAGGAAAAACATGTGAAAGCATTTTGTAATTTGTAAAGGTAATGTTCTGGTGTGCACCTTATACAAATAAATGTCTCATTCCATACAAATATCTTACAATTTTGAGGTTGAATGAAATAAGAATTTATTTTGTTAACACAATAAAGAAGTATACATTATTTATCTGTATAACTTTACATTGCCCTTTAAAACAGTGTTTATCATAAATTAATTATGTGATCTTAAGATAAATAATCTTTTCAGAAAATAATCGTAATAAAAAGTAAAATACAGTCTTCCCATGTTTACAACGTCAATCTTTTCTAGACAATCGCGATAATTGGATAACTGCGCATTTGGATTATTTAATTATAAATCAACTTTTTTTGTAGTTTGAGTTAGATTCTATTAACAAATAACTTGAGGAAGCTGTTCATTTGCAACAGTTTCCACCCATATTCTTCGTTAATTAGACGTGAGGTAAAACCCCACTGTAAAAATCATTCTAGATGGCAAATGGAGTTTCCCCAGGATGGGAGACGGAAGATTTTAAGACATCAATAACCTATCACAAAGTCGGCTGCTGACGCTGTGAGAACAGCTTCAAATGCCGACCGGGTGTTTTTGGACTAAGATGACTTCTGTTGCTACCCGACGCCTGGTTACATGTTGGCTAATGCCTGCTATATCATGTTCTTTTTGTGGCAAAGCTTCGCTTCGCGCATCTACTGCCTTTTTCATCCATAATACTGTGCTTTTCGCCAGCTGGAACTAAGCACAGCAATGATCCCAATTCGTTGATTTCTTTGTCGGCTTCTTTTATGTTCGATTTGCAAATGGTCAGAAATCGCAGCCGTGGCCGTCCAACATGGCTAGCCACTTCTGACAATTTTCTATGCAGCAGAAGATTTGTTATACAATCTTCATTCATTCTACTTACATGGCCGAACAGGGGACGTCCCTTCTTGAGCAGACAATATTCTAAACAAATTGACACGTTCTAAGACTATCTGGTAGGCATTATGTCCTGCCATCGAATGCATGCAATGCGACGCAGAACTTTTTTATGGAAATTGTTGAGTTTCATCTTATGACTGGCACTTGAGTTCAATACTCCACTGCCCTATAGGAGCGTACTACGCAGACATGCCTGATAGATGCACAGTTTTGGAGTATCTTTGCTTTTAAAATTATTCTACTCAGTTTATGCAAATTATCCATAGTTACTGCTGCATTCTTTGCAATCCTGATGTTTGCATGTTTTTTAATGGAAATTTAAAGAGAGATATTGAGAAAAGACCAACTACAGATTTATTATGGCCATCAACAGATTTGTTTTAAAAGGACCATGCTTATGTATCAGAAATATATTTTATGCACACTAATTAACGGTTAGAACTCTTAAAATACATGTTGGAGACGATTATTTTTTCGCTGAATATCTTCTTCTGTGTGTGGTGGTAGGACACCACTGAAAAGGAACATCAGTTTACGAATTAGTACCATTAGTACCTTGGTAGTTGCACGAATGTGGAAGTTATTGAACATGCAACTATTAGATAGGGTATTAATGTGTACTCCGTTTTCATATTCCCTGAAAGCAAACTGAAAAATCAACGGGAAGAAAATTGAAACGTGTTGCTGCAAGTGCATAACCTTGTTTTACTACGACTGCTGACTGGGATTATCTCAGGGACCACGCCATTGAATGTTGCTGTGCTATCCATGTTTTCATGAAATGATTTAATGATTTTGAGAACTCATTTTTTTTTTTCAAAGTGTTACAAAAAATACGATAATTTCACTTTTTATATGAAACTAGCGACTGCCTGGCATGTGTTTCAATTCACTTTAAGAAAGAAAGTGTTTGCGATTTATGGTTCTTATTTATGGTTCTTTAAAAGTTTCAAAAATGATATTTCTTTTTGTCTGGTGTATACACAAATAAATCTGAATGTTCCCGACACGTGAGCAGACCACGTACAGCAGTCCATGGGAGACTAATAGGTTTTACAAATTTACAAATTGATTCAATGCAGTATCGATGGACTTACACGTTTTCACTTTGACTTATATTTGATTTTGAATGCTTAACTTGATGGCATTGAAATCGTTTTTTAGCTGCTAATATAAAACATGCACTGAGCCACTGAAGACTTTTGTAATTGTGGTGCGATATTTTGGAAACATTGTGAATTGATTAGTTTGTGGTTGTTGGGCTTTTACAAAGCTCTTTTGCAATGTGAACCATTTTGTGGATTCATCGATTGCCATTTTCCCATTATCAATGGCCAAAAATTGTTTTGTGACACGTAGTGGATGAATCCTGTTGTAAGTGCACACCCATATTGGTATTTAAAGTCAATTTCTGTACGTGTCGCCATAAAACTGAAGATTTGTAACTTGCATTTTATTTATCGAAAGCGTTGAACGTGTAATAGCTAGTATAGTTTGTCGAAAATGACCAGATAAAAAAAAATAAGTGCGCCACAGAAGACCTGTTCATTTCTTATCAAATCGTTAATGTACGATGAAGCGCTTCCAAGGTTTTTTAATGCACTCTAGTACATTTGTCCCAAATAATCAGTTGACATTTTTGGAGTACCTTACACATTCTTAAATTTATATTTATATTGCATGTTTGTTTCTCAGTGATTTACTGACAATTCAGGGCTGAATACGCTAATCGACAACTACCAACAAAAGGTCTTAAAAATAAAAAAAAATGATCGTTAGTCCTTAATATATAGATGAAGAAGAGTTGCTGCAATTTTAGGTGACACAATTGTCAGTACACTATTTCTCCTTGATCGGATTGTTGCCAAAATAAGGGAAAATATAAATATTATCTGTCCCTCCCGGGAGCATCTAGGATATACAATACGCCTATTTGACTTATAATTGCATGAGTTATTTAGGAACCAATTTTGGAAGATTCATTGGAATAAATGTATCGACTTCGTCAATATCAAAGTGTGTGCCTCGTTGAAAATCACGATCGAAAATGTTAGTTGCAAATCGAATCGAAAAAGACAAGCCCAACTGCACCAGTGCTTTGTTAGCGATTGCCGAAAATATGTCCTCCATCGAAACCAATGTCTCATTGTAAACGATTGGTGTAAATTTAATGTCCGGATTTTATTCGTTGCACGCAAATGATGTAATGTGTCATTAGGTATTCCGTCTTTGTATTTCTTCCAAAGATCTTTCGGATTGGACTGGAAGCACGTTGTCAATATGACTGCAAACAACATGCGTATTTGCTGTGATTGAGCAAGAATTTGATGCATCAGCGAGCGAAGGGTCTCAATATGCATAGTTTTCCAGAAGTTTTTTTTTTTCTTGGCAAGCTTTGCGATAAGTGGCACATACTTGACTGATGACTCTTCTCAATTCTTGAAAGGATCATGTTTCACGTACGTTGAATAACAGTAATCGCAAGTATGTATTCTGAATTTTCTGGGGGAACAGTATGCAGCGTCATAATGCGTTATTTGAATAAAAGTTTTGGTGCTCTTCAAATGATTTACCCTTATTGTGACGTTGAAACGTGTTCACTGTTGCATTCCTTGTGTAATATCTTGACACTCCAGAGTAAAGTATTTTCTTTGCAAAAATATTATTCCTGCTCAATTAAAAAATGCATTTAACGTTTTAACAGATGTGATAATGCTCTTTCGCGTGCAATTTCTGTAGTGAAGTGCATGCACTGTCCATTGTAACGTGCACTGCTAAATTCAAAACTATTAGATGGCGTTCCTGAATTGAAATTTATAAAATGCGACATACTGCTTTTGCTATTTATGTAGTGTCCAGGTCGATTTTAGTAGATTTCATCAATGGATACATTGTCTTTTCCATTTTAAAAATTGCATATCGCTTCCTTTGCTAACATATTTTCCAATTTACTTTATCAATTTCGATGAATCGAAATAATTGATATTGATGTGTGTGTTAAACGTTTCCTAGAGTAACGGTGAATATGGCATAACCCAAATATTATTGACTTCAACATCAGTATTTTGTACTTTTCAAGTGATGGATTTGCTACTATCTTCATTTGGTCATTGACTATAGAGGTTATATCCATCGTTGCCCGTAAATCTCTTGGGTATCGCTTGGTTCATTTCCAATCAGACCTGTATGGTGACGTGTAGTTCAGTAAGCCACAAAGACAATGACTCATTTTTTGTTGTTGATGACTTCAAATACGTATTGTTCAATGTTGACATCAAGTAATTCTGCAAAAAATAACTTAATCAATTTTATCTTCTGTGACTTTTACTATCAACCAAATTGAAAAGTTTAATTTTAGCAAGGCCTTTTCTTGCTATTCAACGGAATACATCCAACATTGTGTCGCTCCAAAAACATGATGCTTCATACTGCAGTCTAACAAATATTTTAATTAAATGTTTCAACAAACGTGCAAAAATATCATGACGATCCGATGATGATTGTCCAGTTAGCGAAGCATTATGTAATTGATCCGAATTAGGGTTGCATGTAAATCTAATAAAAACCTCTGGGCGACTCTACACGCGAACATATGTCATTGCATTTGTGCGTACTCATGCATTTGCCGATGACACACTGTAAATGTGGCTGGTAGTATAACAATTTTCCTCAATTTATTTGTATTCACATTGCCATCATTCACAACTGCATCACGTAAGTGAATGTATTTTTCGGAAGGCATCTTAGTTTAATTTAATCGAATGCAGAGGACTCTTTCTTTTTCAATTTTCACATACATATCAACAATGTATTAATGGAATAATTGTCGATATTTCAAGATTTGGTTGTGAACAATCGAATTAATTGGTTGTTTTAAAAGAATGGAGTTTGCAATGCAGCGTAAATTTCCGGTTCAGCTGCCATATTATTTGACTACATTGATCGATTGGTTCATCAGTATTTCACATGAAATAAATTTGAGAAAATGTGTGATCTGTGTTCAGCAGTGGTAGCAGTGGTCCTGTACGATGATGAATTCGCCCTTGCACTCTGAATTCTGACATTTAATTATTACGCACGATATTTGTTGCACCAACGATGTTATTTGGAAATAGAACTTGCGTTTGTTTACCAAGCAACGTTTCAATTGGCTCTTTCGCCTAATAACAACGTTGATAATGGTTCAGGTTTAGATTGTGATCTCCATGTTCTCTAGCTTTTTTATTTATTTTTTAAATGACTGTTAACATTACTTTATTTGTATATATATATAGATATATAGATATATTTTGATAATATTTTATTTATTACAATAAATTTGCGCTTTTTTTCTTTGATTTTTACAGAATTGAAATGCATTACAAGTACTGCAGATTCGTCTTTTTGGAATCCTCTTTCTTTTGCTCTCATTGGAACTATCAGCTTTTTAGTCATAATCATTGTGATTGCTGTTGTAATATTAAGGAGGAAAGGTATGATTGTCAGCACTTTAGAATGTTAACATTTTGCTTTTTAAAAATTTAAATTATACGAACAAAGTTGATACCAAAGCTTGTGATATTAATAACATAACTAATTTATTTAAGCTGTTATTTTTCATACAGAGTTATACAAAATTTATTCTAAATTGAATACAGTTTAATTTTCGTTGTGTGAATACAATACATTAGAAAACAGCAAGTTTATTACAATATTATCTCCTTTTAAAGTTCTGTAATTTATTTTTTCTTACATCAACCGTCTAATTTATAGCCGAGAGTGAGCCCAGATTTAAACATTTAGAAAGTACCGTTCTAGAGAGTGTTCTTTACCAAATGTAGAAGCTTTTGAATTGTTAACACATTGTTCCGACAAAGGTAAGGGATACGTATGTATCGGGCGATGGAGACAAACTAAAAAAAATTATTAATGACGACAGGCAGGTCAGTTAATGGATGTTCGCTCTTGCAAAATGTTTAGGCAAAAACACACACTAAAATTCAATAAGTCTGGTACACAAAATCAGATCGCGATAAAACCAAATTGTTGACACATTTTTTAGACTAACACCACAAACATTTAACATTCCCAAAATGAACGCAGGCCCACCAACCAGTTAGCACAGGATATTTTCATGCAAAATGCGTTGAGATTTTTAACGCTAATTATGCGGGAAGTATTTACTTTCCAATGATTTCTTTGTAAGCTTTTTTATTCATGACATACGATATAATGTTTTAACTATACAGGGATATAATACTTCAGACAATTTACATCTATTTAAATCCCGACACGAACGTTAGTAAATTCAAATTTATTATCGTTACCCAATCAATAACCATTTTTTAGTGATACTGTGCTATTAAGCTGCTTTGAAAATAAAAAAAAAATGTATTTAATGAGACGATCGAATTTATAAATATTTTTTCATTTCTCAAAGCACTTTAAATCTGGATTGGTATTAGTTTTTTTTTAATGATCTTCAAAGAGATCAAACAATGCTAGACAATATAAATAGTCATTAAAAATATAACAATTCTTTAAACCTATCCCGCACAACATACGGCCTGCGGGCCTATGCTGCCCGCCTGCACGAAATTTGTTTCCCGTGAAGGCTTTGGTGAAAAAATATAACAGTTTTAAATAAGCTATAAAGGTATTTATTTCATTAATTTTCCCCCACGTATACTTGAAATCAATGTTTTGTTTCATTAAATCAAATTAATTATTTTAAAGTTGTTTAAATATTTACTCCATATTTTCTTTCCTACTGAAAATATTAAATAACAGAAAGCTGGCATCTGCCGAGCAATTATTCTTTCGCGAGGGAAATCGACTACGATTTCCCACGCGTATGTATTCTTAAAGAACATATCAAAGTGTGTTAAAAATAGTGTCTTCTTTGCAGGGTAGTCTTTTACTATATTTGTAAGATGGCGTAGGATTGTGTGGTGTAGAAATCACGTATAACGATATTTTGATATTCTGTGCTTTTAGTTCGGTAACATATGTATACATGTGTATTGAAAGATTTAAGAGCAATGAGTCAAAGCAGAAAGAGAAAACGAGTGATAGAGCACGGAATTTTTAATCCGGAATATACGAATAAATACTTATTTACTGTGTTCAAGGATAGAGTACTGTGCCTCGTATGTCGTGACACAGTTGCTGCTCCGAAAGAGTATATTCTTCAAGGCATTTTGAATCTAAACATCCTAATTTATCAACATTAGACAAATATTAAAAATACATTAGTGCAGCGAATCTGTCAAAAACCCTTTTGGAGAGAAGACATTTTTCAAGAAAAAGAGCAGTGAAAATGAGACTGCTACGGAGATAAGCTTTTTTTATTTCAAGGGAATGGCTAATGCTGTGTAATACTTTACTGATGACAGTCTTTTAAAGAAGTGCATGCTGATTATCACGTCTCAATTATGTCTGGAAAAAAACAATTATATTTTTTAAAAAAATAGTTTATCACAAATGATATTGCAAAGAACAATTCTTGATATTTCCATCAGTCTTCAGCAAAAATGTATGCAGACAGTTTGTGAATGTTCATTTTATGCTCTAGCTATGGACGAAAGCAAGGATTTTGAGGACACCGCCAAGTTTCTCATTTTGATTAGACGTGTTGAAAATAAAACTGTGTAATTACCGAAGAATTCACTGTCATGTGCCCCTTGTCAGGTCGCACACCGGGAAAATAAATATTCAATGAAGTGATAAATAGCTGAAAAGATATTTTGTGATTTGATTTTATAAAATTAGTGTTTATTTGTACAGACGGTGCCGGACATATGACGGGTATTAATAAGGTAGCAGTTGCACTTTTTGAAAAATTTATCGGCAGGCAAGTGACAAAATACAATTGCATTATAAATGTTCAGTCCCTATGTTGACAAGTTTTTCATTACGAAATGCTATGTCGGTTGTTGTCAAAATAGTCAACTATATAAGATCAAAAGGAATCAAACTTAGGGTTTTTTAAGCTTTTCTTGAATACCGAGACGTAATGCACCATGAAGAAGTGAGGTGGTTAAAATTAGGAGAGGAGATTATGTGATTCGTTGCGTGGAGTAGGAAATATTTAATTCCTAGAAGATAAAGCCAAGGAATTTCCTCTATGTTAAGATTAATCCTGGAATCAAGCCCTCTTCTTCTTTTGTGATATTATAACTTAAGATATTTAACGTTTAACTTCAAGGTAAGCAAAATTTCGCATTTGAAATGATTGCAGTGGTAAAAGCTTATAGTGAAAATGAAACTTTTCAAAACCTAGTTACTAAATGGTGAAATGAGTCCCCTCTCCACTTATGCACACCCTTTTTTTCCAGGCCAAGCACGTCGTCTTGGTAAAATAATTTGCTAATGAAATAAATCTTTTGATATAAGAATTTGATAAAAGTCTTACTATTTCTAAAGAATGAAAAATTCGATTAAATAATTGAAGATCCAGTTTCTGAGAATGACGAGGACATAATAAAGACTTCGGAGGACCAGAGCCTAGTGAGCATGAAAAAACGGCATTGATACTGGCGCGAAACAAATATCAAATCAATCAATCAAACATACCAGTTCAATTGCAGCTGGATGCTATTGAAATACAATGTTCGGCAACTTAACGATGCAAACACAGAGAAAGCAGCCTGAATGATTTTTTATAAAATCTTGACCGTGAGAATTACAAAAAATATTTACGAAGTTGCACCAAAAATTTGTTTGTGTATATAGAATCACTTATATATGTTAAAAGACTTTTTCAATACTGAATATTAATAAATGCAATCCACTCTCATGTTTGAGTGATGTTCATTTGGAAGATATCTTGAGAACCGACACTTCTAATATATCTCCTAAATATACAAAACTTGTTACTGAAAAACGATGAAGATTCTAACATTAAAATTATTTCGTAAGTAACGAAATATTCTTGAATATTATTATTATCTTAATAGTTTACTCCCGTCCTTTTTTCTTTCGGCCCGCACAAGTTTTTCAATCAGTATTGGGACCCGCCTTATAATTTGAATGGTTCAGGCCTGCTTTAAACTATTTCTATCTCACTCCATGTCACTTAGAAACATGTTTTGCAATCGTTTGAAATAAGTGTATACCATATTAGAATTTCCTTATCATTATTTTTTTTTAAAAACGATAACTTCGTTATGGTATACTGATCTTTGGCTATATGCTTGAATATTTTTGTTTGTGTTTTGAATGTAGCCTATTCTGCTTGGATGCCTAGATATCAAGTGACATTAATTTGCTTTAAATTGTCAACACTGTCACAACACCACAACGTTTGAATGGAAAAAATATATAGTTTATTTTAAATTTTAAATGAAATTTTAAAAAAAATCTATGATTTTAAAAATGGACAGTCGATTCCTTAAATAGTTTTATCTTTTTTTTTTTATAGCTGAGCACCTTTATATTTAAGAAACTTTTTTTGGATAGGTGAATAAATATTTCCATTACCATTTACTTAATCTATTTGTATGTATTTCGTTTTTTCTAATGTATTCTAATTAAATGTGCTTGTATTTAAAATTTTAATTGCTATATTTTCCTTAAAAAAAATTAAAAAAATATTTTTTTTGTTTTCTTTTTTTGGGTACATTTAGACCCTTATTTTTCACAATAACACTTCTCTTCAATTATGAAATATTTTCTATGTCTTTCAAATATATTATAAATTAGATGCATATTGGTTAAATTTTGAATAGCTGAAATTTACGATTGTATTTATCAGTTAAAATAAGTATACTTTATCTTATCTGGATCTAGCATTTTTCGTTTTCTCATTTCATTGGATTAGACGTTGCCTTTTTGAGTTAAGTTCGTTTACATTTCTGTTCATTTGTCTATCTAAAATGAAAGATTTAGACTATTCCAGAAAATCTTGAACATTCCCTAGTTAGTTAATAATGATTAGATCTTTATTTACCCAGAAATACATAAAAGGATTAAACACGTTAATTTTAATTTAGTATGGCAAAAAAACCCACTAAAAATTGTAAAAGACAGCGGACACAGAAGGCGAGGCGTGAGTGTGTGTGCATATGTGTGTGTGTTTGTGTAAAAGAGCTTTAATATATTTAACACATTTTGGCCTATTTAAAATTATATTGAACTTTTTGTTCTTTCATAGGTTGAGTTGGCTAGTTTTTTTCAAATATTTATTATGTATTTTTTAAACAATTCTCACATAAATAGCGTTAATTGTTAATTGTTCATAGGCTTGAGGATTGTTCTGTCCTTTTTAACTCATTCAATCTTTTTTTTTTTTTTTGCTTACTGAGTAGTTTTAATTTACTTCTTTGTTTTTGGGTTAGTTATTTAATCGTCATCAATAAACAAACCAAAAATACCAATTATATGTTAACATAAAAAGGTTTCTCACGACATAAAATATCCAATACCAATTAAAAAGGGATTAAGATCACAATTTTTAAATTTATTCTACTACTTTATTTTCTTTGTTTGGATTTATTTTTAGGTTTAATTTGTGCAAGTAGCGTAAGATGCTTTGAAGGGAAATGCTACAATTCTCCAGATGAAAGTGAAAGAACTTCAAACACCATTGAAATGGAATCTAGGCATTGAAGATTTCTTCAATAATCTTATACTATATTGTGCAGTTAAAATTGTTACTTTTTAAAATCTTTTTTACCAAATTATTTTACCTAAAAGTATCATGTAAATTTAACTATGGTTTTGTTTTTTCTTATGATAGATGTCATGCGAATACATTTAAATTATATGTTATATATTATATATATATATATAATGTGACTGTAGTACACATGTGTGCTCTCCCAATCTTATATATATATATATATATATATATATATATATATATATATATATTAAAATATGTTTGCTTATGTAAGTGGATAAATGAGCAAAGTCAAAAACTTGCGTCAAAATTTAAATAAATCTGAGCTTCATCCAATACTAACGGATTTAAATCATCTATCATGTGATCCGTTGAAGTTGCATATGTCTACCTTGTGTGTCTGCACCTAAACAAGATTTCTTGTTTACTTTGTGGTTGATATCAATTCTTTTCCCAATTCATTATGTTTAAAATCTTAACCTATGTTGTTTTATTTACAAAAAATGGGTGTCTTGCTAATCTACTGGAAAACTTTATTGCAGTTCAATACTGTTATAATTAGTAATGATTTTTTAGGGATGTTTCTTTAAGATGTACACAGAGAGTATACCATCCATTTAACAGAAATTCAAGTAACACAAATGTAAGAATCCCAATTTTCGTTAAATCTCTCCCCCCACCCCATACGTTTTAAGCACATCCATGAACTATATTAATATATTCTTGTGTCCCAACAACTATTAACCCGATTTATCATACCACATTAAAATTGAGAAGCTTTCTGGAAAGAAAATATTACTCATCAAACGCATCTACGTTATTAAAAAAAAAACCACATTTAGTGTTGTTATCGGGAATTATATTGTGCGCTCTATTGAATTCACCACTAAAGCACACGCTGGTTCGTTCAAACATAGATAACTGTACGTAATATAATCCATTTTATTATTTATTTTACAAAAATATCATTCATGTTGAAAAAGTCTCTCTTTAAATAAAGAACTCCATTACAAACAAGCCATTATTAACTATGTAATCACTGAAATAAAACATGGCATCATTAACAAAGCCATTAACCATACCAAAAAAAAAAATACGTCACAAAATGCATTCCTATAACAAAAGCTACGAAAATAATCTCACTACCAAATCCGGTGAATAGAAAACAGCAAACTTGTAAGGAAGGAGTCGGAACTGGAAGCAGTCTACCAATAGAGTAATATATATTAAGTTAATTAAGTTCGGATTTTCTATTATTCTAAATAAATTGAATAATTTTAATGCGAAATAAGACAAACTTATCTGCTTTAATTTAGTAATTGTTCAAGTATTTTTACTATAAGTTACTTAAATGTTTATATGTATATAATAATAGATATAATAATAATATATATAATAGCAATAAACCAACCATTTTATTTATCCTGTATGTGTTTGAAAGATAAAAAAATCAATTTAGAATTATGATCTAAGAATTACATCGTTACCACATATTTATTGGAAAAACACAGACATCCATTTTTAGGTCGTTTTTAGTGCTGTTATATAAATATTGGGAAATAAATTTAAAAGTAAATAGGTCTCAATAATCACGCCTATGCCGTCATAGTGCGAATTGTCTGTTTTAGCCAAAGCTCTACCTTTCTTTGATTTATTAACTGCGCGTGACAAAACTGGTCATGTATGGTCACCTTCTCACAATTTAAATTATTAATAAGACCAAACAAAAAATATACCTGTATTTTATCTTTGAAATTTTTACAATTTTAGAGAATTTTTTTTTTTTTTTTTTTCCCAGGTTCACGTAAATATGTAGTGTAGGCCCAACGATAAACATTTAAAAAAAAAAAAAAGCAACAACATGACCTCTAAAGCGATTCAGTAGTGTAGAAATCAACCGTAAATGAACTCCTTCAGTGCCAATAGTGGTTTTATTAATAACCATTTAAATATGATAATTAAATGTCATATTTAGAGAAAAATGCATTTTTAATGGTCAATGCATATGTAGAAAGCAAAAAGAAAGACACCATACACTTTTCACCTCTTTTCTGTGTTACGCGAAACATACAACACATCAGCTCTGCAGGGGCTAGGGGGAACGGAGTTCTAGCACTTAAATTGTTTATGTTGCCATGTCAATGGGACCTACTTCTAAACAACATGCTGTATGTCCCAGTGGGCCCCCGTAAAACCAGCCAAATCATCTCGTCGAAACAACTAGCCCTGGTAATCATTGTCAACAGTCGTCACGTAATATTAGTTGGATATCAGCTCAAACCATTTGCTAAGTTCAAGTTCGTCAAGAAAGCAATAGCAGCCTTAATGTTTCGACACAATAGGGGCTTGTTAAACCAGACATATAAGCCAAAACAGACATTCCAGTGGAGATGTACCCTCGTCAAATCATTCACTTCAGGTAGGTTGGTCTGAAGAGCCAAACTAATCAAAATTATCTGCCACAGCACGGCACGTATAACCAGCAACATCATCTGTAACCATTTAAAACATCGCAGACCCGTCAAAAGAGCCATACATTTCATAACTATTAGCCACACTGGAGGTCCGTTAATCCAGCCATACCTTACCAGTTACTTATCTTCATACAAGCATATGAATACATATCCTACACATTTAAGAGGCTCAAAATGCAAATTGCCACCAATAAAACGAAATAAATCAACGAAAAATCATTCAAAATCGATTCATAATAAGCATTGTCATATATCAAATATTTAGATATTAATTTTTTTCGGAATAATGTATTGTTTTGGTTAAGTTGAAGAAACAGGAAGTTAAGGAATCATGGGATACACACAAAAAAAGGACCCGGATGAATGGCCGTTTTAGTTTATTTCTTGAATAGCACTGGCTATTATTACTTTTGTATTAAAAAACATCTTAGTGTTGATTCAACAAATGTGTAGTGGAATAAGTTATTACAGTAATATTTGCACTGATTTATTGAGGTTTACATTATTCAGTAAATAAATGTTCTGAAGCAAAATCTTAGAGTTTTGGCCATGGTGATTTGTTAGATAATTATGGAATTCTGTGAATGTCAATAAATAAGTCTAAAAACTACAGGTAACGTCATCACTCCATATGATCGTTACAAGCATCTATTTAAAGTAAATTATTTATCTATTTTATGGCCATGTGTATTACTTTATAACTATATCATAATTTGGGAAGTATTTTTACATTAGAAATAAACTTGCTCACAGTATATCTATTTTTATTGCAATTGTGCTAAAATTTTTATTTTTAATTTTTTAAAAAAATCTATATTGCCATAAGACATAGAAACCAAACGTCCTTACTAATTATTTTCAAAATTAAACAAAAGGCGATATATTTGAAATTGAAAGGGGAGGAAGCAAAAGCTTGTGTAAAAAAAAAAGAGAATGATTCAAAGAGGATGAGATGATATCCCAAAAGTTAAAATGAGCAAGCTAAGGAAGAGCCATTCGTGCCTATAAACAGGATGAAAAAAAAGAGAATCTGAGAACTAGATAAAAAAATATATGTAACTATCTATACATAATTTGCCAGCAAAGGTCAAACACCACCACGCGGGATATATATAGATACGTCAGAGTGTTGTTGAATAATGAGTTCCCTAGCGCGCAAAATATAATTCTCGATAACTATGTTAAATGATATTTATATACACATTTGTTTCGCAAACACCTTCTGGGATGATTGTCTACCATATTTTCCACTTAATGCATATTAGCTGTGTTGCTCAGGGTTGAAATGGGTAGAAAGACTTGAGATTGTATGCTTTTAATTAGTTTTTGTAGTGTTCCGTTTGTTTTAAATGTGGTAAATTATAGATTTTTTTTCTCTTGTTCCGCGCTTCGAGCCTTTGGGGATGAAGCATGTTTTTGAAATACAATTTATTATTATTATTGTTTATTATATATATATATATGTGTATATATATATAGTGGTTTCGGAACAATCACCAACCTACGCCTTGAAGACGCCATATTATACAGACTGGCTTGGAACGAAGAGGAGCTAGCCGGTCTGGTAAAGCGTCTCGATAAGACCTCGTCGTCCTAATGCATGCTAATCAGTGCCGAAAAGACAAAACTGATAAATAATACCGCATGCATCACCAGTGAAATTAAGGTCGGGGAGGAAAGATTAAAGACTGTAGGCCACTTCAAATACCTACGAGCAATAGTCTCAGAAGAAGGCTCCAAGCCCGAACTGATGTCCAGGATTGCGCAGACTACAACAGCACTAACGAAGCTCAAGAAAATATGGAATGACAAAAATATAGCCCCCAGCACCAAAATCAGGCTGATGCGCTCATTAGTCCTCTCCATTTTCCTGTATACCTGCGAGTCCTGGACATTAACAGCTGATCTTAAAAAGAAATTAAAGGCGATGGAGATGTGATGCTTCAGAAACATTTTTTGGCATCTGCAATAGGGACCATATCTACAATGATAAAGTGAAAGAAAGGGTTCGTCAGGCAATTGGGGAATACGATGACCTACTGGTGACTGTGAAAAACGCAAACTACAATGGTACGGCCACGTAACAAGGAAACAAGGGCTTGCCAAAGAAATATTGCAGGGCACCACAAGAGGAGGGAGAAGAAGAGGAAGACAAAAAAAAGGTTGGGAGGATAACATAAAAGAGTGGACGGGACTAACACTGGGCGATGAAGTGCGTAGTCCCGAAGACAGAGACGAATGGAGGAGGCTGGTTCACATGTCATCTGTGGTGCCCCAACGGTCCAAGGACTAAGGGACATGACCATGATGATGATAATGATATATATTGTTATGTAGTACACAATTTTCCCGTGCTTAGGCTTTGCTTGACCCAAATTAGATTCCCAGCAGACGTTAGCGTTTGTTGTGGGCGTGGCTTAGTCTTTGAAGTATCACGTTTACTTCCGCACTACCAAGTAAACATGTCTAGTATGTCTACTAGTAGCTTATAGAACGTTCTCGATTGTAGTAGAAAACATAGAGCGTTTCTAGACGCGTCGGTAGACCCACATATGTAAGGGATTGGTAGGTACGGAGAGTCGGAGATTCAGATAGATATATTTTAACAATACGTGACGTGTATTATTGTTTTTGTGCTAATATGTGTTTAGTCGC